CCCCTGTGGGCGCCCAAGGTTGTGGGAGCTTGTGAAAGAAGCTTTCAAAGCTCTAATTGTTTTAGAACTTGGATACCAAAGCAAGTCATTTCCATTCAAGGGAATTAACATGACTTGTTTTTCTTCAGCAGATTTTCATTTTTTCAATTAAATAAAAAAATAATATTTTTGTAGACCACGCAGAACTATTTACAAAAAATGGCAAAGCTGACCAAGAGCACCCATCGCAAGGTCGACCCTGAAGTAGTGGGTGATTTATTCGAGCTCTTCCACCACATCCCTGAAGAAGTAAATTGGATCGAAAGAGGATTCGAAACACCATCGTACAATCAGAAAGACTGCGGCTCTTGTTACGCTTTCAGTATAGCCAGTGTATTACAAGCCCAAATTTTTAAACAAACAGAGAAATTGGTACCCTTAAGGTAAATTGTTTTTTATTAAGAATAAGATAAGGATATTTTTATTCTAGCGAGCAACAAATCATTGATTGTAGTGTCTCTATGGGTAATTATGGATGTGGAGGTGGTTCACTTAGAAACACTTTGAGATATTTGGAGAAAACAGGGGGGTTAATGGCGTACAGTGATTATCCTTATTTGGCCAGAGTAGGTCTTTGTTTGTTTGTTATTGTTTTAAAAGATTTTTTTCAGCAACAAAGATGTCGCTTTGATAAAAATAGGGCTATTGTAAATTTAACAACTTGGGCCATTTTACCTGCAAGGGATGAAAGGGCTTTGGAATTAGCCGTTGCTAAAATAGGGCCGGTAGCAGCGTCGATTAATGCAAGTCCACACACTTTCCAACTTTATCAGTAAGTGTGCTAAATATTTTTTTTTGTTCAATGTTTTATTGACTTTTAGTTCTGGTGTGTACGATGACGTTGCCTGCAGTTCAAACCATGTGAATCACGCAATGCTTATTGTGGGATATACAAAAAATGCTTGGATTTTGAAAAATTGGTGGGGTAAACATTGGGGCGAAAAAGGGTATATGAGGCTAAGAAGAGGGAAAAATCGTTGTGGAATCGCGAATTATGCTGCTTATGCTTTAGTCTAATTGTAAAAGAATTGTGTATATTGGAAACCTTTTATTATTTATTTGAGATGACATTCAACAGTATACTGAAACATTTCGTTTTTTACAAATTTAAAAAATATTATATTCAAAAACGTTAATAAATCTTTAACATTGTCAAATATTTATAGTCTAATATTAATTTATTAATTGTACATGAAATTTTACATACATTAAAAGCAATAAAAACGTGTATTTGGACTCTTGTAAGAACTAAAAGAAAATATACAAACAAGAATCAAAAAACTGTTGACATGTATCATCAAATTTTTACAGAACATTGTTTAAATTTGAATACCCATTATGTCTCCATTAATCACAATAGAAAATGAAAAACATCACTATCTTTTATATAACTACGTTACTGCACCAGACTTCCAGACTCAGTCTGACATATAATAATGTTGAAGATATTGAAAAGTTTGAATAAAGCACACAGTAAATTCTTCAAACTCTAAAGCAATCAAATGACAAACTATAAAATAAAAGTTGTCGATAATAAAAAAACCTACACAAAAACTGCAGATTTTAAAATAAAAATAAAGATTAGTTCGTATAAATTATATTTTGTACCTCTCCAAATTTGAAGAAATTAAAAACAACAATAAAAAATCTAGATATAACAAGTTTTAATACTCTTCTTTCTTTTCAATAATCACGTGACAATAAAATGAAAAATGTAAGAAAATGAATTTTAAAAGATAAACAATAAAATTACAAGTAATAACGACAGTAAAAAAGTGAAAATAATATGAAAAACCATTCTAGATATATGAGATTTCATACTACGGTATAAAATTCTTCAGTTTTTAAAAACAAATGTAAAAAACATTTGTACTCTTCAAAATAAAAATATCCTACTTTTAAATAAATACTACAAGTGTTATAAAGTAATAGTTAAATACACTTTGAAGACATTGCACAATCTTAAAAAAGTTTACCTAAATGAAGATCACATATTATTATTATCTAGAATGCTTTCTTCTTGCAACTGCAATAATTGGCAAATAAAGGTAAGTAGATATACTGACAGGCGAATTAACACCCCAACAACTTGTCAACACGCAATGCGTATATATGAAACGGATTAAAAAAAAAACAAGTCAGGCAAAAATATCCGTGTGAATATTAAATGAACCGCAAATGTTGGCATGTCGTTGGCGCAAAGTGAATATCGGCTAACAGCTATTTTGGCAGCAGCGTAGAACAGTGGCTCATCTTAGACAAAAATAGTACCAAAATAATAAAGCTTCCACGCATAAGATGGCACCACTGCATTTTTAAAATGATCGAGAATAAACAGAGGCAGATTAAAAAGATTGACTAGAGTCGCATACAGCTGCAGGCTCCATATCCCGTGACTACGCTACTGCTTGAAATTTCTTTATATACAAATTCAAATGTCAAGATAAACATAAAAGGCCTAGATAATGTTGAATTTTCAAAAATAAACCAGGCCATATTGATACACCGCACATCACACACACTTATGTGCTTAGGTTGTTATATAAATCTAAGAGCTTCTTCTTTAGTACACTATCACAGTCAATTTAACCTGGTGATTAAGCAAAAAACGACTTCAATTGTAAAACTGTCACTGTATATGTAAATATATCTATATGATACATTATTTTATATAAATTTGTTATAGTTTTTTGGAAATTATCACCATCGTAAAATTTAAGATTATGGGAATATAAAAGTCACAGCAACTTTGAATTATCACATCACTCTCAAATTAACAGTTGTACGTGGTGCTTGATCCTCCAATGTAACGATCTTGGTTACTGTACTTCCATGCTAAAAACGGATGCGCCAACACAGTATTCAAAGAATCGTTGTGTATCTCCAAGGAATTCGTCGCATAGTGCAAAACCAGATCTTTCAGAGTTGGATAAATATTGTACGGTTCGGCAAACCCAAACCCCCTCTTCGTATCATTAATAATACAGTGGTTGACCATCTTGTTGCAAGCAATGGACAGAGCATATTTCGAAGTACTCGATGTACGGATCAAAAAAGTTCCGTCCGGCTGGCCGGCCAAATACTTCTCGGCGTCTATGCGTCGACAGTCTAACATCAGCCAAGTGCGTTCATCGTTATGTATCAAAGAATCGACATCGCATTCTTCGCCCGATTGGGTATTATACTCCTCATCTTCGCTGTTTCGGTTCAGAACTTGATTGATCTTCGTTGGACTAACACCACGTTCCTGAAGCCACCTATAACCAACCAATCGATATTAAATCGCTAACCTACGCGAAAAAAAAACTGCATTACCTAATATATTTGTCTCTTTCTTTCCGTAAACTATGCACAACCGGTTTTAAAGCAGTCAGTTCGCGTTCAAGCGTTCGGTTATAGGCCTCCTTTTCCTCTAAAGTCTTATCTAAATGCTCGGAACTCTCCTGCATCATTTTCAGTCGTTGCGTTAATAATTTCTCGTTGACGGTTAAACCCACTATTTCGTGTGGTTGGGCTTCTTTCCTTACTTGTGCGTGAGTTGCGATCTGCTCTTGGAACACTTTAACCAACTCTTTTAAAGCTTCTAAAGCCTGTCTTTTAGTCGAAACCTCCTGACTCGTCTTATTCAAGTCTTCAGTCAGACTGTCCAAAACCTTGTTTTTGTTCATGAGAGTATTCTTAATGTCGCGTAAATGATCCCAAAGCTTCTCCACGTCTTCCGTTTTCGCCGCTTCCTCTTCATGGTTAAACATAGACACCGGATACAACAACTTTATGTCTAAAGAGGCGTTATATTGTGATAAAGATTCGTTTCGAAAATGATTTATCAATTCCACGACTGAATTGAAAGTGTACGGTTCGGTGAAACCATATTTTCCGTTTTTATGGCAAATTTTAATTAATTTATTTGTACCACCCTTACGAAGGGTCAATGTATACTCGCCACTTTTAGTTGACGCGTCGCGCACCAAAAATGTACCGTCGGGAGTCTCTTTCAGTTTCTCGTTGACTTCTTCCCGTTTTATATCACCCCAGTACCATTCTGCGTCTTGGAGCGAAAAAGCGTTTGATTTTTCCTTATCTATTGTACTGTTTGTTGAAATATTACTTCCCATACGCATCGTTCCCACCACCCTTCGTGGTGGTATAGCCGGAGCTGAAGCAAATTCAGGCAACTTAACGCCCCAGTTACATTTTAAGAGTAGTACTTCTAAAATCCTATTATGAGATTGAGTATTGTAGACCACTTGACTGAAAGAGAAACACAAAATAAAAACAAAAGTCAAATTAAAGATAATTCGGGCTTACATAATACGTTCCCAAGGTGGTCTCAGAAAAATGTGGCATAATGCCTGAATTAGAACGGTAGGGGGACTGTGATTGCCCCTGGAGTATTCCATCTGGCACATACGACACAAATGAGCCATTACATATTTTAACGTGGAACGATGATTTTCAGGCAATTCTTCGACTAAACGTGTCAATTGAGTCGCGCAAGCTTCGTCAGTTTTAGCTTCTACAAAAAAAAAAATAAAAAACAATTATTTTAAGCTTAGTTGAACCTTACTTGACGCTGTTAAAAACGCATCGTACCACTGAACAGGTACAAGAGGATCAGGTAACTCCCTAAGAAACTTTTTGATAATTCCGGCTATACAAACGGCATTAAAATCGTTTAAATCTAAATTAGTTGAACCATCGTTAATTTTCTCGAGCAATTTCGCCATTTGATCAGGTGGAGGTGTGGCGCTGTACAGATTATACAATTCTAAAGTTTCATCGTTCTCGGCTTTCATTTCCAATTCGGTGACGAACTTCATGAGAAAAGCAGGCGCTTCCTGTATGTCTCCGGGAAAAAACTGAAGACATAGCCCCCTACCGAAGGCGGACATACATGGAGGCAGACCGGTAGCGGCACATGACCGATGAGCGACCAAACCGCAATCCTGACAAACGAAACCCTGGTGGAGCAGCCCTCGCAAGAATTTGTTGCATTTCCCACAACGTTCTAAATTACTGAAACTATGCTGCGTCAAGTTATGCGTGTGCGCTATGTCCGAATCTTGGTCGTTGGTCATCATTTTGTTCTCTTGCTTCCCTAAAAGCTCGTCGATGCACGACAGTATCGCCATTTGGTGGAATTCGTCCTTGATGCCCATATTCTACAAAGAAATTCGCGTGTTTTAAAAGGAGTTGCTACCAAAATCGATTCATAATAGCAAGATTTAAGCCAGCTGTCAAGCTCCGTTCCAACCCAGGTATTAATGCAGTAAACCCCAATAATCCACCTTCAGTAAATCATTTACAGCCTTATGAAAAAACTAAACTTCCAATACCTTTCAATTACTGCACATTTAGTCCTAAAACACTTTTCTTACTATTAATCTCACAAATCTCGCCTTTGTCTAAACACAATAATAACAAAACAATAATAAGTTGATTCAAAAACACAACTCAACAACTAAAAAATTGTAAAAAAAAATTAATAAACGTCTGAAAACTCGAACAATTTAATTCACAATTCTCTTCAACATTGCAACTTTGCTAATTAAATTTATTAAATTATTCACGTCGAAGTCTGCATCACTACAATTTTTAAAACTTTAATACCTGTTGATGTTTGATAACCCTTTTCCTATAATATTCAATTTAAAAAGCAGGTAACTGACAAATTTTATTTCCTCTTCCGCATTATAAATGCAAAGCAAAATTTGTTTGAATTGATAAAAGAGTAAAGATTGTTTCAAACTTTGTTGCCAGGAAAGACATTGAACATTTGGAAGCACATTTTGCAGTTTAAAATGTTGAAGAAATCTTGATTGGTGTTTGAAAAGTCCGTAAGAGATTTATGTGAATTGGGTTTATCGTTCAATAAGGTCAAAGGTTTTTGGTTTAGATTTTGTAATTGGATGCTTACAATTAATTTTTCTTTGTCCAGATGGACCAAATCTGAGCCGTTGATGTCTTTGTATCGGAAGATGTCCGAGCAGAGGTAGAGGTTGGTCGCCGCCATCCATTCCAATACTTGCGCTGACGTCCATTCGGATATAGGCTGAAACAAGAGTTGAAACATTGCATTTTTCTGTAACTCTAGCATCTTTTTATCGATCGATAGCAAAGCTACAGCAAAAGGTTATCATTTTCCGCAAATAGCATAGACGTTTCGGAAAAAAATGCCAAACAGGATTAGGAAAATTTTCTGGATCGAATCGTAAGTGTTTATGAAATTTTCCAGTATGTGTGAGAGGAGAGGGGTTGAAAAGGCCTTCGGTAAAGGGAACGACACCCTCGTATGGCCCGCAAGTTTGGGGTTGGTGAGAGAGAGCGATGATGAAGGCAGCGGTAAGACGGGCGCATAGCAACGCGCGCCGCTTTCGCCATTGGTGGATTGTTCACCTATCCGGCTCGACTATCAACTTCACAATCGAGAGTAGCAAGGCAGTGAGTACAAGTAGATACGGTGATACATACCGTATACCTGACTATTCAGGATGTTATACATTGTAGAAACCTGGTGTAATGTAAACGACACGTTGCTTGCTACTTTCATAGTTATTCAGATCTGAAAAATGTGAAACTCTGAAACTTTTTCAGATCTCGATTTATTTTGAGCTTGACATGACATGGGTACGTCCGTATGTCCTGACGTCGACCCATAATACGCGATCAATACTCCTAACTAGCTCCTGTTAATTCAATGTCCAACAAAATTTCGACGGTCCGTAATACTCGGTTAATCGTCCACATCAACAGCGACCTTGGTTTAAATTTACACCAGATTTATAACGATCTAGGCTGAGCCACCAAGTGCTAGATGGCGAAGCTGAAGCTGCCGCTTCCTACATCATATTCTAAACATAAACCAAACTTTTATCAAAACGTCAACAAATACCGGTAGCTTTTATTTATTTATTCTCAAAGCATATCAGTCCCCTAGCCGATTAGAATAGGATCGGCAATTAAAAATCGCCGTGTGTATAATAATGTAATCGCGTGACCCGTGATAATAAGGTTGAAATTCATAAAACAAATCGACCAGCCTCTTGGCTATGTATATAAATGACGTTATACAAAGCTCAATGTTAATTGTTACTTTTCGACCAAATTACAATCACCTCAGTGACCTATCAAACCTAACGCCATCTATTCCAATCATTACCGATAAAATCCTCTTACTAATCCAATTACGAAACAACTGAAATGAATTTTTTTCTTCCCCCTTTCTAAACAAACATTTGGTAGCGGGTTAGCGGGTTCCGGAGATCGCGGTAAAGATGTTGCGATGCTGCGAGGGGCGGGCCTCGGAAGCCTCGAGAACACGTGTGTCCTGGTGCTGTATGTGGCAACCGGCCCCTCGAACATCGGCAACGTCGCACAGAGCTGGCAACCTTGACGGCACGTCGTCAACTCATATAGGTCACGCCGGAGTATAGCGTAACGGCCGGCCAGCCCGTGGCAGGTTTGGTTGACCCCACATTCGTAATTTCGAAAAGACACTTCTCGTTTAATCAAACGACCACGAGAGTATCTCTCAAGGTAGCGAGCGCGACATTCGACGAGCGATTAGGCGAAAAACGACATTTTCCAAAGTTGGTACATACTTTTGAAAAGCAAAATCAAAAAAAAAAAAAACATATCGCACTTCAATGTAGCCAATGTTACTTCTCAATTTATGTATTTCCTATCCCCTGAGAACAAAAAAAGTGCAAAAATAACAGAGCGAGTGTCGAACAGATTATACAATTAAAAACTTACTCGATATCCACGTGCATGACCTGTAGTTTAGAAATTGGAAGAGCGAGAAACAAAATTAATGTCACAGAAGTGCATATAGATCCTGACCTGACAAATTTTCCCAATAGTATATTCAAAGTAATACGTCGATTTTAATTAGAAATTTTACGCAAACTGATCTAGAATTACTTTCATCAGTCCTAGTGTCAATAAATACATCAGTTCGTGCTTGAAAATTATAACGTTTGTGACAAATTTTCGATCATGCGGTAGGTTGAATTTTTTTTTTTAATTACATTTTTTACTGCGGTATGGCACGCCCCTAACCCACACATTAACACAATGGCCGGCTTTTGAACCGGCCCGATTTTTGTTATTTTACGAACATGAAGGTATTTGCAATAAAAAAAAAACTCATAAAATGCTTAAAGAATTATATCGTAACGGCTATTTAAAAAAAAAAATGCCCTGCTGATTCAAAACAATACGTTAACATTTCGACTTGAATTGTTAATTGATTTGTGTAAATAAATAAAGTTTTTAATTAAAGCCGGTCGGTTCAATTAAGAAAACGACGCGCATTATTGTATCAACAACCATTCTTAATACGATGATTCCGGCTGACACATTTCGTTGCAAAAAACACGAAACAAATGATACTAAAACGGCTAAAATTACAACGTTTAACAAGCAACAATGTTATTTACTTACACTTTGCAAACGAATCAAATTTCTTTCTGGATATTAATACTATTCATTTAATACTAGAAAAAAATTCATCGCGTTGCTATTATTACAAAGTCAAAGACACTACAAACTAATATTTCACACAAAGCCTAATCGATAAAACAAAACTTTTGTTTAGCAAAAAGGGGTGGAACAAAGTGTTCGATTTTAAATAAAACACAAGCTCCGTAAACTTGGAAAAATTTCTGATTTCCCAAGAATATTAACATCATGCTCGACGATACAGTTTTTTGCATTTATCTATTTTTCGTAGCAAAATTTATTAGAATGAGGATGTCATAATAGATGAATATGTAACTGGCTTCTAAATGTCAATGTCAGTCACATTGTTGTCATTATCATATGATATTCAAATTTTGTGAAAAATGCATTTGTTATTGCATTTGACTGTTATTACAATTTCGTCAAGGATCGATAAAATTTCAACCACAAATTAAAACAGACATGTTCGAAAATAAACCATACAACCACAATTAAAATTTTAATTACTTCTAAAATAAAATTATACACAAAATGTGAATAATTAGGCATTTACTATTTAGCGGAGATCAATTAATTAGTCTGAATATAATTACCATAAAAAACGTTAAATGTTTTATTGATTGGGAATAGATTCAACGAAGCCAGACATAGTGGAATAAAAAGTGATTGTTCGACGACAGTTCAAAGTGGATGCAAATTGCATTTTAACAAGCGAATTTTCTTTTATAAAAGAATAACCAATGCCTATTTTTTAAAGTCGCGTTTTATCTAAATGTCAATGTTAAAATTACAATACTACTTTGAATACAAAATTTATTACATTCAGAATCTGGATTGAATATAATTGATTATGCATAGAAAAATTTACACAAAAATGTTTACGATGAGGGATGCCTCCGGGTGTTCCGGGAGAAGGGCGTTTTACAAGATCCCAAGCTTATCTCTTTTCCCCCTTTTCCTCTTTCACATATCTATTTTTTTCAAATTCATTCACCATAAATCATTTTTTCCTAATTTGCCATTTCGATAACAACTACAATTTGCGGTCATTTGAATTTTTAATTTAATTAGACTAAACTACCTAATTAAATTAAGATTATATAGGAGAGAAAAATCCTGATGTGAATAAAGTAATAATTAAAGAAGAGGAAATATGATAAATGGGAAAAAATTCCACAATTATATCTGCTCAAGCGTTCAGGTATGAAGACACGACGATATAACTAATTTTTATTCTTGTCAATGTGCAAAACTAACCTTGAATATAGTACAGCTGGTTTTTGACTGTCAAATTAGTAAAACATGTTTCTCTTGTTACCTCCTTTTAAATTTAGTTTCAGACATTTTTTTGTTACAAATCTATTAATAAAAGATCACTTTGCAAATTTATTGCTATTTAATCGAAAACAAATAAAACAAGAGGCACTAATATCAACGAAACATTAATTGATAACAACTTTTATCCTTGCTAAATGAACTGCATCCAATTAAAAATGTAGCAAAAGTTGAAATTCCATGAGTCACGTTTAAATTTGCTTATTAAAAAACGATTTATCCGATTGAGATTTTATTTGTCAGTGTTACGATAAAATTAATTAACATTTATTAAATAAATTCTCCTTTTAAATACAATAACTGTCGTTTCTAAACGTCACAAAAGTACAATAATTAAATAAAAACAAAACTGTATAAAAATTAAAAATCGACTCGTTTTGGCACCTTCTCTAATTTAAGAATTTCAGTAATTTTTTAACGTAAAGGCACATTTTCATATCATAAATTTTCCTCAATTTCCTCTTGGATCCCTCTAAAATTCAATAAGATATCAGTTTGTAGTAATATGCATTTTAATTTTAATCATCGATTTGTCTCCCACACGAACAACATAGTAAGAATTGAAACTCTCAATATGAAGGAGTATTAAATGGAGGAGTCTATCTTCTGGAAAAAATTAAATAGTAATCTATTTTATCTTAATACGTTAATAACTCTGATCTAAAATTAGATTCTTTGGAGGTTAATAAAGACAATCTCCAACAATTAAATAAATACTATAGGTAACCAGATGTATCCTTCATAAACCACAAATTAGATCATTACGGTTATTTTATCTTATCAAATGATAAACCTGTATGAATTAAACAACGCTTGCACCACCTTGTCTATTGTACGATATGTTTTGACTCGGATTAGAATGATTGCGAGTAAAGCTATCGATTTCGCAGAAATAATGATAATAATGATAAATAATAAAAAAATCAAACGTCTGAATTTGATAGCAACTTACTATTTACGTTATTATTTACATTTCACATTGTAATTCCAATGCAGCGATTGCTGTTAGTTTTTATTTTTACAAAACAAACGGAATAACCTTTTTATTACAATATTTAATGCATTGCGTACACAATTAATACCACCGAAACATATCCTTCTACTTGAATAGCAAAATCGTGACGTTTAACATATTTTTTTTTCAAAAATTTATAAACAAACGTCGTCCTTATTCCTCTACTCCTGTCAGAATAAATATTATAATATAAAATTAATGTCGTGCAGATTTTTTTAACGTTACAAAAATTAAACATATGTACTTTCTAAAAATATGGCGGGCCGATCATCAGATTCCAATTGTATTAATAGAATTTTCTGGTTTAAACAAAATAAAAAAATATTTCGAGCTTTCCGTACGTTCCATTTTCTAGTTTCAGATGTGCCAAAAAACGACGATCACATCTGACATGTGGAAGGAAACGTTAATAAGAAAATTTTCTCAAAATATGACTGCAACCTTTCTTCCTAATAACACACGTTCTAAAAATATCTCGATTATATAACATCATCCACAACTCTGTCTTTACGTATGTCCCTCCGATGATGGGAAAACGTACTTAAATATGGAATAATGTTAAAACGCGATGTATGATAATCGTAGTTATTTAAACTGATAACGTTTTATTTAAATATTGATTTCACATACTCGTATATTGAGGAATTATTATCGTGATACAAATCACGTAATTTTTCTATTTTAATTATTTTACATGAATAATCTTCAGGTGCTATTGAACTTGCAACGACAATAAAACTTAAGATAAAAAATAAATCCTGATGGGTTGGAATCGCAGAAAATGAGATCATGCTTCTGATGATTTCTTATCTGAATATAATGCCAATAGCAATAACCTTTTAAATGACTGCAATAATCAGAAGTTTGATTAAATTAGACAAATTCGTTCAAGAACGAAGACCTCTTAATCTGAAAAATGTACGAAAGGGAAAATGACCACGCTTTTATATGAAAAATCGATGAAAAATATTAATTGAACGGTCGGTTTGGAAAACATTTTAACGGAGCTAGAAGTGAAGGGTAATTAATATGTAAATTGACTGTGTCATTTATGACGAAATTATTTAACATTATAAGTATCCGAAAATTTATGTAAAAAAAAAACGTTTTTTCACTCTTAAAAGGTACATGTAGTTCTAAGATTTTTTTCATACTAGTTTGACAATATTTTTATAGGACGTCAATTGTGAAATAGTTTAATATTATCATAATTATAAAATATAAAATAATTTAAACATGAAGAGAAACTTGCTTGAAAAGTCGGACGGCGCCGGCGAGAAAATATTCGTACATTTTCGATCAGTTGATTAACATTTAATTAATGTTACCAAACTATCTCGAAGCTGTCAGTATAATATTTAACGGTGGAAAAACTACAAGATTAAGTTTGAATTGACTTCCTACCGTCTAGCTAGAACAAATTGAGACCGTTTAACGAGCACAAGGAAAAAAAATGTTGGGGGTCAACCGATAAAATTCTGTATCTATAATGTTGCAATAACATTAATTAATTCTATTTAAAAATATTCAATTCTTCTTTTGACCTCTACTCTGAACTTGACGTATACGTCAAAATGGTGACCCTGCACTACCTCTAGGAAGAGTTCCAAAGGTTGAAGAACACGAAGAATGCGACCACTTTCAAGAATTAGATGAAATTTCATGGAATCAAATCAGTCATTAATGATTTTTTTCTTTAGTTCTTTCGTTGACAAATCCAAGCAGTTATGATTTCCTCTATTTTATCTTTTGTTTGAAGCAATAAAATTAGAGACCTTGCCATCCGTACACGGCGTTTTAAAAATATATGCCGTTTAATTATTCGTCGAGAGGATTCCAGACCCACCCTTCAGCAAGAAAAAATACTGCGTGGAGTGTGTGCGTTAAATTACTTGTATTCTCACTAGAATCACAATAAAGAGCATTTGAAGCCAGCCCAATTCAGACATTTTGTTGAAGATAAAAGCAACTAATTAATTTTGAGCTTGTATTTGTGTATTGGCATCCTTGTCGTTGTCTTTGTGCAGGTGGAGGAATAGGAAATGGTGGTGGAAGGAAATAAGTGTTTGGAATCAGCATTTCTTTCTAAAACAACGCAGAATAATAACACGTGAGGATATATGCAAAAGAGGTGAGATTTACATATGGCAACATTGGACTTGATTAAACTTGTGACAGTCTCATAGTTTTAAGTAATAAAATGGGGTATCACAGGAATCTGGATAAGGTCTGATGTTATTTATTAGTGTCCGTTTCAAGGTCAAAAGATTTGGGCTACGGTGTTGGTGTCACAAAGAGATACTTGAACGGTTGCGAAGAATCCCGTGCACGATTATCGATTTTATGGAGGGCGATTCGCCTTTGTTCCGGCCGGCGTCCTAGCCGTCAGCTGTTTCGCTTACCTTGTCGTGCTCAAGGGCCGTCGTCGTCGTCGCCACTTCCTCGTTCTTAAGACATTGGTGTTTGGCGGCGAACCTCGCGCACATGTCGTGGAAACAGCCGAAGCAATCTGAGGAACAGAACGAACCGCACATGCAGCAGCAGGACATTTCGCAAGAGCACATCAGACGATGGAACGAGACGATGCGAGCGCAAAAGCCGGTGCCAGGGCCGTCGACGTCGACGTCGGCGGCGGCCTCCTTCTTGCCGGCCATCACGTTCAACGCGCTCAACGTGCTGTTTATCTCGCACACCATGAAGCTATCGAGATCGACTTCAGAGCCCGGACGACTGACCCCTCGCAACATGTAATTCTCTTTGTCGATGTTGACCAGCGGCAGGAGTGCGGAGTGCTTGCAGTCCGGCACCTTCAAGCGCCGGTACATTTTACTGCTGTCAGAGGAGTCGCCCGTTGCACTGCCCTCCTGGGTTTCACGTTCCGAAACGCTCATCTTGTCATGTTACCACCGTTTGCGAATTTTATCGCTTTTTAAGACAACACTTACTCACGACTGCCTCGACGAAACTAGCCAGTTCTTATTCAGAAACGTTAATTCAACGCGCAAACGCAACATTCGGTTTCGGCGCAAGTCCCCCTTTAGCCCCGCAAATAAAAGTACAGCGGCACCGCCAGTGGCGCTGCTATCAAACGCAAACACAATAAATCCTTAATTATTAATTTGTTGCCCTTTTGTTGACCATTCATTTCCATTTCTTCCTCATTTTTCAAACACCATATAATTATTACTACAATAAATACATCATCAAAATTTCAACCAAATTTAGTATCAACAAATTAAACTAAAAACTACAATCTTGTCTTCAAAAATTTGACCGATATTTACAAAAGTCGGTTTATTTTTATATAAAAAATGCTTAGTGCCTGCCACAAGTTTCATATAAAAAAAAAACTGTGATCTAATAAATTATTACAAGCTTTGAGAACGTGTCACATACGTTTATTCCTAGAAAATTAAATAATGAGATTTTTCATCCAACCGCTTGACATTTTTACGATCATTGTAGAAAAAAATTGTTACAATTCTACTATTGCTTACCAATTTTCTACTAGATAATTCTAAAAATATGTTTGGCGGGAAATTAACGCTATTTGTTTGCTTTAAAATATACCAGCATGTTACACACGTGTAACAAGATGAAACCAATTTGATTAATTGTTATAACAAAAAAAAAAACAATCTTCTCGACTGCTTATTAGTAATTTACCAATAAACATTTACTTAATTTTTAAAACGATTTGTTCCATAATCGTCGAATTTTTAGAGAAAAACACCGCAATGGTAATTAGGTGACTTACACACAGATCCAATAATTTTTAACAATATTAACAGTATTTATTAAAATAAAATTAAATAAAATAATTAACGAATAAAGTTTTATAAGAACCTCCTGTTGTGTTATTTTGCTACGCCACTGGTCGACGCCAGCTGTTCGCTGTACCAACATACCGAAATCCAAAAATATCGATACAAATCAAAATTCATATTTAAAGTTATGAAAATATATCCAAAAACTCTAAAACCGTACAGAAATGGTTGGCGGTTCGAAGTTTGACCTTGATAAGCACGCCGTTGCAGTGAAATTACAGCGATGCCAAACTTACAACATCAATTCTGATAGCCCCGAATTTATTATAATTTTTTTTTGGCTTAAGTCTCAAATGAAATAGTTTTCCACATCGTCTTGTTCCACTTTGCGCAAAATTTCAACTTTCAATACCTACCCTTGCATTTTACGCCGACTGGACCCTGTCCCCAAATGTAGTCTTTACCTTTAACACAAAACGATTCAAATATAAATTTACACACTAAAATCAAATCTTACAAAGACTTCGTCTATTTTATATAAACTTCAAGTGTAATTTACATTAGGTGTGACCTCCATAAATATGCAAATACACGCTACTACAAGTGATGAGAAATTCAAAAGTTTACCTTGAAAATTCAAGTGTAATTTTGAAAACTTATATCTATCACATTACATGCAGACATATTTACTAATTTTGATAAATTTCTAGAAAAACCATCCATAATCTAAGATCAATAAACAAATGATAATCAAGTGATTAAGTGAATACAGATTCACCATCAGGAAAAATTTTAATTAAAAAAAAATCAACATACGTCCCAAGAAGTTCATTCATTTAACAAAAAAAAAACTAAACTTTAGACCATTGACAGATAAGAAGATTTAGGACAAAAAATCGATCATAATCATCTCTTATACAAGATACCGTCACCAATTGACAGTTGAGATAAAAAAAAACAAAACGAACAAAATGGCAAGACAAACTCATCAATATAATCCAAATGTAGAATAAAACAAATAAAACCAACTTACAATGTGTACATAAAATTGGTTTTACAAAGTAGACTCGAGTGATGTCGTGGGTGGTTTCAGTCTTCCCTTTACAATCTGAAAACAACACATGTCACTTAAAATGTTATTTTTCCCTTATAAACAATTAGAATTACAGTTGCGCCCGGAAGAGTGGTTGATTTAATTTATGAGCTCGTTCATAAGCAAATAAATGAAGGGAACACAATTACATGTCATCAATTTTTATCTTTATTATCTTTATTATTTCACACGAAATAAAACACAAATTGAAAAAATAAAAATAGTTAATTACAAACTAGAGTTATCGGTTAAAAAAAATCACTTTCATATTTTCTGATATTTGATAGGCCATTGCATTATCGGGTGAATGTGAGTAATAATGCCTTCAGACCCGCTGACAACAATGATAAAAATATTTTTAACGTAATCCTTTGCAAATATTTCGTTCTTTACACTCAACTTTTTTATGTCAACTGGACAAACTATAATATGCAATATTAAAAAAGATATTCTTATCTTTATAACTGACTATATTTTATTACTATTACAGCGTTATTTGATTTCATTAAAGTAAATTTTTGTCGGAAAATTTCCCGTTTTAAATGTAATAAAAAAAACAGCTTTACTTCACATTTTTCTCATATTAACACTATAAAAACTGATTTATTTATATGATAACTTAGTTAGTAACTTCTCTTAGCTTTAATTGTAATTATACGATTATCACAGATCATTAAATTTGCTATCAATTGTGATATAAATAGACTGGATAAAGATTCTAGTCAAACACGTGTGCTTCTGACAGTACGAGTTTAATTAGCACTAATCGGCAACTAGTTAAAAATTCAGCACATAAAATGATAATGAAAATGTCAATATTTGGTGATATTTATTGTAGGCGTTCATAGTGATAACTCCAAGTACTATCAAAAGACTAATTTCTATCTTATGCCATCTGAATTATTCATCGTCCCTTCTATTTTTTACAGTTGTTAAACCGAAATCAAAAACCAAAAATAAAAAATACCTGTTTCGGAAATTGCGACTCCTAAGGCAGATGGATGGTGCACAGTATTATTCACTTCAGACCCAAGCAATTTTACACATTCCACTAGAAAAAAATTTAATATTGATAAATTTTAGTTTAACAAATTTTCTTATCGCTTTCCTAAAAAGGGTATAGAAATTGCATACACGTAAGTAGGTGTATATTTGGTTGCCTAACGCAAATAAGGAAAAACCCTTTTCAGCTAAACTTACCAGGAACATATCCTTCTGATCCTGTCCGTCTATTATAAGCATATAACCATCCGGGTTTTTGAAATTCGCTAGTGGAAAAAGGACTCTGGACTGAAATCTCAAACACATCATCCTTCTGAAATTCTAGGCTAGTTGTATCACTTGAAGGGGGTGTGAATGACTGTAAAGCCTTGTACAAAGCATAGTCCCCCATCGCAAGTAACCACCATCAAATGCCCCAGTCGAAAAACATAACTTCTGCATAACTAACTTTCTAACCACAATTGACAAATTACTTAAAGACGATCTTGAGTAGTCATTCATGACTAACCCACTAACTTAACACTGATTGTAACTCTTTTAGTCGCAACGTCCAAAATTTCCAGTAATTCATTGTTATTTAGTTTATTTAACTGCAAACCACTTTCATCAAATCAATCCGGGGTGTCTGGACAATTTACTAACCCACAACTATTTCCAAATTTACATCACTGCAAACGACACACTTTCAGAAACTTTCTTCTATCTATTACTTATTCTGTTTATGATGATTGTCCCTTTTTAAATTTTAAAAAGCGTATTTACTTCGTAACAAAAACAATACTCGCAGTCGCCACAACAATGGCGTCACAGATTATCTCAAAGAGTCACTTTCTTTTGAGAGAAAAGTTAATGGCGCGAATTCAGTTTACTGAGAATGTGGTGTTATCGCTATCGGTGAAAACAGTTGTAAACTTATACCTTACACTTCTAATATGTAAACAGCAGTATACAATATCCTATATTTATTATTTATTTTTTGCGCTCATTAATAATACACTACACTTATTACAATACAATTTTCTTGGTTTTTCTTTTTAAATTAAAAAAAATAAATAAAATTCATTTATGACATTTCTATTAATTTTCTTTTGTTTTTATTTTTTTAAATTACGCACATTTATGTGAAAAATTTGTTTTTGGACTGATCAAAAACCAGCTCTATATCTCGAGACTTTTCTATTGCCATCCTTTTACTTTTATACAGTACCTACACAAAAATCAAATGTTTGTGACTTATTTTACCTAGTATTTTACCTCGATAAAACCCAGTTGTGACGTTGCCAACGTGGCAAAATAGAAAAGTTAGCTGAGCTCGGATTATCGAGGTTCCACTATATAATACTTTCATTTCACATTTCAACAAATGCTTCGCGAATTGTAAATTAAGAATTATTTTTTTTTGCTTGTACTAAGAATAATTTTAATATTTTTTGTAGTATTACAATATGATAATAAATGCTGTTTTATTAAAAATAATCCTCTCTGCCAAGGGGGTATGTTGAAGGAGTCCTTCAAAAATTTTTGTTGGGAACTACCGACTTGCAAGTTTTGTCTAGTAATAAAAAATCCACTAAGCAGTTTTTATTAATTTTTCGGTCATATTGTGATCAGTTGATCACGATACAAGAAACGATTCTTATTCATTTTTTCATTTATTAATATATTTACATTAAGTGGTGTGATTTGTTACTGAATTGATTTTAGCAGTGTAATCTAGTTTAAGAATAAAATTATTTTCGTACAGTAAGTGCGAGGATAATTTAATAAAAAAAACAAAACTCAAGAAAAGGGTCAATTAAGTATAGTCGTAGTCGATTAAGTTTCAAGGACTATATCTTTTGTACTCCTTATTTGGCTGATTAATCATAATTATCCGCCGCATAATAACCCTAAAAATAGGTCAATTTTCTGTATTTTCTCAAACTTTTCGCTTGAAAATACAAAACATACGCAAACAATTTTATATTTTCTACAAAAATAAAGATTTCCAAGGTAAATTCCATTGCCTTATTTAATTTTTCTGTAAATAGGTAATACATTATTTGTTAATTGCTTCCTTTGCTTCAATTTTTACAGCACCCACCCTCTATCATTCTATTGAAGTGAACCTAGTTTATACGTGTTTTTTTTAGAAAAAATATTGTGATGATTGGTCAATCGTAAGACTCGTCTAAAACTTTAATTTTTTAGAGTAGCAAATATCTTCATAAAAACTAGTTTTTCACCCTGCTTGCACAGTTTGTCTTGAATTTATGAAGCTTTGTATAATTACATATAGTTTTTCATGGTGTCTACAATTACAACAACAAAAACACATGATCATTACTCTATTTATTGTGGACATAAAAAATATAAAACATTACAGAGTATCTACTTTCCGCTAATTGCCAAAAACAAATTTTGGTTAAATGTAGGCATTATTTGTTAAATCTGGAGCCTTTCCTTCCTTGACAATTCTTAAAGCACGCAAAACGGAAACTTTGTCTAATTCGCTTTGAGTAGGTTTTTCATTATCTAAACAAATATCTTTAGCTCTGTCTTTAAAGTGTTCTAGAACTTTAATCCTATAATCAATTGTAGTAGCTACACAGTTACCTGTCAAAATTAAATTTTCTAAACATGGTAAATCGCCTAAATAGGTAATCTCATCAATATCATCAATTTTATTACAACTTAGATCTAAAGTTACCAAAGAATATAGTTTTCTAAAACCCTTTAAAGAAGAAATACTGTTTTGGGATAAATTTAAAGTTAGTATGTTTCCAATTTTTGTATGTAATTGATTACATATTGAAATTAGATTATTTGATAAACTTAAATGTGATAAATTTGACAATTCTGATAGGCCTGATATACATGAAATTTTATTTGAATCTAAAATTAAGGTTTTTAAATTAGGCACCAAACTTATCGTTTTATCTATTTCTATTAAATTATTATTTGTCAAGTTTACTATTGTTACATTGGTCCAAATCTAAAACAAAAACAATTAATTCATACTGATAAAACAATATAATGGTGTATTACTTGGTTTGTATCTAGAGTGCACTTGTGTAAAACATCACATTGTAAAATTTGACTAATACTACTCATACTTGTATTGTGAACATAGAGCTTTTGTAATGTACTCCTTAAATTACCTAGAGACGTTATTTTATCCAAAGACACTTTGACCAAAACTAATGACGTCAATTCCTGAAAAATTTAATGACAGGAGAGTTAAAAAATTCCCTAAATTTACCTTAAATGAAGCCAATTCAAATGGCAGTTGGTTTGGAATAATATTACTATTAAGATACGCAGTTCCACTTCCATTAATTGTTAATGCTTTTAACTGTGAATACAGATCCAAAACATGTGTAAAATCATATCTACTGTCAACGTTTTCAATGGGTGGAAATGGTTTTTTCAAACATTCACTCACTGCATGCAGCTAAAAGGTTCAAATTAAATAACAAATAATATTATTGTTATGTAATGTTATACTTCCAACGGAGTAAGTGTATAACTTTTACTTGAAGATAATAAAATATCTCCTTCCAGAAAAAATCTCAAGGCCAAATTTTGCAGTAGAAAAAATATATCATAAATGTGGAAATTAAAAAATTCTATAAATATCCTAGGCATCGTCCTCTTCAAGTAGCTCAAAATTTTCTGACAATACTCCTCAAGTCCTTTTCTACGATTTTCAATGAAAATGGGGCATTTATTCCTAATAACTTTTTTTGAAGGTAGAATATCTTTAGAGACTCCATGATCAGTAACCAGCTGATTATGTAAATCAAAGAATTCGCTGTAACGATGAAGGACGTACCATTTAATCTCTCCCACAGTGACGACAATTTTGTAATAAGTAATATTATTAATTTCCTCCGTGTTTGGTATTTCAATCTTAGTATCATTTTGGCTGAACCAAAAACAAGCCATAATTCCAGAAGCTACAAATTAAACACTTAAGATGACTTTCTTATCATATTTGATTTATTTACTTTATCACAATGGATCAACACACCTACATCACTATTTTTTAACTTGAAAACTTTAACAGTTTAAACACAAGAAGAAGGTTAAATACTCCCTCTGTCAAAAGTGACATCAGCTGTCATATGTCATTTAATACCTATGTTTAATAATTTCACCGAGGTTGTTTAATGTTTAATACGTGATGGTATTTTATAAACAAATATCTTGTTACTGTACACAATAATAAAAAATTACGCTAGGTCATGAAAAACGTTTCAAGATATTTTTATTAATGAATTATTAGGAACAATTATTGTATGATTTGGATTTTTTTGTAGATAACTTCACACTTGTTATTATAACCTCACTTTCTGCAACTTCTTTTTCATTTAGTGTTGTTTCTGCATTTAGTAAATTAGTAGCAAAAATGAGTTTGTATGAGCAAACAAGGAAGGAATTTGTAGAGCTACTAAGAATAAAAAGCAAATTGACTAAATATATTATTGCACTAGACAAAGAAATAATGAAAACCGATGTTGAATGGATGAATTTGAGGGATTTATCAAAAAATCTAGATAAAGCAGATGAAGTTCCTCCCCAAAATGGAAGTACGAAGAATAAAGAAGCGGTGCCACTTGAAGCAACACAGCCTGTGTTAGATCTAAATCCCAACAGAAATCATCAAAGTGTTGATGAGGAATTTGACAGTGACAGTGAATGAATATTGTTTAGAAATTATTGTACATTGGGTCATTACAATAAATAATTTTAGCCTTTTATTTGTTATGTAATAAAAACAATATGCATGTTCTAGAAACAAGATACTTAGCATCTAAATAATATACAACTCAAGATTTGAGATCCAAAAAAAAAACAAACAGGATTATAGTACTATGTTGGTTTCCAAGTAACCATTTGCATTTTTCTATTCAACTCTTCCAAAATAATAGAACATTGTACTTGTTTTTCAGCTGAAAGATTAGTGATAACGTCATCATCTTCATCTTCTTCCTTCTTGACTTTTTTCCGTTTAATTTTACTTGGATCTTTCTTACTGCCTTCATCATCATTTTCGCACTCACTATTCCTAGTTTTGATCTTAAAAATAATTATAATTTTGGAAAACCATGGTAAATATTTACCTTTCTGATTTGTTTATCATATTCTAATGCATCATAATAATTTGGTTTCTCTCTTCTAACTCTTTGGGTACGTCTACGTATATCTGCCCCTGGAGATAAAACGCGGGCTGTTCTTCTCGAATTAAAAAATGAGTGACCACATGGACAGGCTTTACAAGCTACAGGTACCTAACAAAACGTCTTATCACAAGCAATGCCAATTTTGAGAATTTACCTGTTGATCGCACTTTGGGCAGTTTTTTGCTATCATTTTATTTTCAGGCTATGTTGTACTACTAAGAGTGACTCTGCTGAGCATTTTAATAGAACCTAACAGTCTTTATTTCATCGGCATTTAAAAATAATCTGTTTTGATAAAATTTTTATTTTTATCCTTTGTTCTGACGTTTAGTTGTCAATTAACAGCTTAGCCAACTTTAGCGAGACACATTACTAAACCTTAATGTTTTGAAAAAATCAAAAAGAATGCAGTTTCAACCCAATGATATTTCAATTATTAATTGAGTAATAAATGTTTTTGTTATATGTTATATTACGTTGAGGTTAGTTACTTAAAGCAAAAATAGTGGTACTGCCATTTTAAAAGTAGGGTTTTTTAGTAACAAGGTTGCCATTAAAAAAATTTGAAACGACAATTTGAAAGACCTTGCAGGAGGCCCCCACTTGAAGGTAAGACGATATTAACCTGTCATATTAACCAATTTACATAACTACTGCAATCACGTGATAGGCATTTTTAACTACTTCATTTACATTTTAAAAGGGGCGTAAGAGTTTTAACGAAAAAGCTTTGTTAAAGTTTGTGTAATTTTATTTTCGGTAACCTACAGGGGACGTTTAATAAGTTCATATCACAATGTAAGTTGAAATTGTACACTTCATATAAATAACAATATAAAAATACAAATACTCGAACTTGAAAGCACCTTCTTTGATATGGATAAGTAGTTGTTCAGTTTGAAATTTGAACAGTTCGCTTTAATAAATATGACAATATTTAGTGGAAAAAATGATGAAATAAAAGTTTAGTCATCAAAATATCGTCAGGAAGACCTCTATACAGATCAATGAGTCAAAAGATTTGAGCTGGAATGTGTCCTGACTGTAGTAGTAGTAGTAATAATATATAAAGTATCTAATAAACAACTAAATACTTGCTAAATATTTTTCCTAGAAAAAATAATGTACATTCAGGAAAAGAACAGAAAAGTAATAATTAAAAAACACAAAACATTAAGAAACCAATTTAAAAACATTGAAACTATGATGATTCATCATCATCATCACTGTCCTCACACTGAGGCTTTCGTATAAAGGGGACGAAGACCCAAATAGAGGCACCAACAACAAGAATAACACCTAAAATACAAAACAATGATACAAAGGATTTTGTCTGTTCAAACCAGATGCCACAAAGGGGAGGGCCTATTAATTGTAAAATTCCATTTACAAACAGAGATATACCATAAGTTGATTGTAATCGTTCTTCACCTAGCATATCTGCCATTATCACAGCAGTAACTCCCACGTAAATACCAGACGCCAAACCAAAGATAGCACAAAAGAAACTAATCATACCATAGCCAGTGAAAAATGGCATGATTCCAAGTGAAATGCCGGACACCAAAAGACCACCGATAAAATACGCAGCTTTTGGACACAAATGTAAATCTGATAAAGCTGAACCACCGATTCTTCCTACAAGATCAAGAGCCGAAACAATTGACAATAGCAAAGCACCCATTGTCATGTTGTAACCCAACTCTTTCGCAAACGACGGAAGTAGTATTATGAAATTGGTATAACTAACAGCATTTGTGGCATTTGATATTAAAATGACTAAATACAAAGGATCTTTCAAAAGCGAAATGTCGAAAAATTTGTTCTTCTTAACTGGAGGTTCTTTCCCGTCGGTTTTTTTAACCGATTTTAAACTAAACGAACTGGCAAATGTTTCAGGTTGGAGAGTTAAAGTACTCCCATGATACGGAGTACTGACATATTGAAAGGAACTAGTCGAGGGACTTCTTTTTGGAACCCGAATTCGTCTGGAACTTGTCAGTCGGCCTTGTGATTGCATGTCCATGGCACCATTGCCACTTTCTGGTACCGCGTGCAAAGCTGAGGAACTATTCATGTTTGTACGAGAACCAGTACAGGCTTTAGCTTTCATTAATTCGTTACGACCAGTGGGCATACTGATTTTCCTTTCCCGACTAGTCGGAGCCTTGAAATTTTGCATAGCGGCACTTGAGACACTCCTGTTAAAATTGTTCGATGAAATATCTAGATTCTCCAAAAAAGAATCGTTGTGTGGAATGTGTTGCAAAGACGCCATACTGTCTTCCGTACTAATCACGAATTTTGGCTTTAGAGGACTTACTTCTTCCGACTCGGAATCTTTTGATTCGATCGGGACTTTTTTCATGTGTTTTTCCACCGGGTCGTAGAACAATGCTGCCACCCACACGTTCAAGGTGACTCCCCCCATGAGTAAAACAGCACCTCTGCAAAAGAATCGTCTTGATTTGGGCCACTAGAGATTTTTTTTATATACCTATATCCGTATATTCCTAATAGCAAATCAAGTACTGGTGGTAAAATAATTGAACCTAGAGCCGATCCTGATATGCATAGACCGTTTGCTAAGCCTCGAAGTCTCACAAAGTAACTAGTGACAATATACACTGTTGGTGGGAAGGAGAGTCCAGCACCGGTCCCAACTAAGACACCATAACTGAAATAACAACGTCAAATAACTGATTATTTTCAATTACACTTACCTGATGCAAAGATATGCCACCGAATTTGCAAAAAAACTTAATATCATGCCGACCGCTGCAAAAGTCCCTCCGATTAGAGTAACAGTTCGGTATGAATATTTGACAGATAAAATGCTGGACAAGGGACCTGGAAGCTTAATTTAGTAGGGGTGTTTTTGGGGAATGGAGGAGTACCTAGAGAGCTGTAGAGGAAGTAACAAATTGCTGCGACCCATGCTGCATCGTCGGGTGTCGCGTTGAGGGCATCTTCGAATTCGACTTTTAAAACACCAAAAGACTTTACTGTGCCTGGCACTAAGACGTTGACTAGAGTGGAGCCGAAAAGTACTAACCAACCCCATCCACCGTCGGGAGGCACCAGTTTCCATTTATCCATTTTTTTCTCATCCTTTTCAGCTATTATTGCCACACCTGATTTAAATAAATCAGTAATAACGATTGATAGGGGTCTAAGAATTTGATAACGTTGCTTATCAGGCCATTTTGAGTCCCAGTTTTGATTAATCAATAAACAAATTTGGCGCCAAGTTTGATTTGAAAGTGATGACGTGACGCGGAAAGATGGTGATTCAGTTCTTTGTTCTTGTGGGATGTTTGTTGGGTGACACGAAATTTGATTACAAAGGGGTGCATTTATGTACAAGATAAAAATAGATGTGTTTCTAATGTTTTAGATTGTTTATTACGTTCTTTCCAGATAAATCTAGATTGCGCGAGTTTATTGAATATTGTCATGATTTGTTTGATTTTTTACTTATTGTTTGAAGATAATAAAAGTCTGAATCGAATGAAATCCGATCTAGGTTAATTTATGCAGCTGGTAACATTGAACTTGAATGGAAAATTATTATCAAGTATGAATAATTTTTCACTATTCGGAAATGTGAAAATGAATTTTATGGAACTTTGGTGGAGCGATAAAACTTACTTTTTGTTCGTTTTCTTTCCATATCGTTTGACTTATGTTTATGTAGATTGTTGGATTCGGCGTCATTTTTTTGCGTTGCCTGTTTTTTTCCGGAGTTTTCTAACAGCGGTTCTTGCACATCAATGTTCATTTGCTTATTGTCGTTGGACATTTTTTAAGAGAAAACTCGAAACAACACTGAATCGCTTAGCGCGAACACGTGCCTGAAAGTCTAAAACGGTATGCGAACAGCTGATGATTTACCAGATAAAAACTTATCATTAAACACGACTCGAATCCAATTGAAAACAAAAAAATCCACTGATACTTTACGACAATGCAAACACAGACTGTTGGCCATTTAGTTTTTGAGGAGATAACTGAATTCCGATTATGCACATAGAATGAAGGACACAATTGGAGTATTTATTTTATATTACACAATGCTCTCATTAATATTACCTTGCGCGATTCTGAGAGCATTCAACACACTAAGTAGTTATCGCGATGTTTTCAATCACAAGATTTGATTTATCATACTTATCGGCCAAACCACACCGACGCACGATTTTTGCTCGCACTAAATTGTTTTAATTACGAATTAACATCACATACATCACCAGTAATTATTCTGTTTATCAACCAACTCTCATAAAACACAAAACAACTAACACATTTTTATCCATTACACCTCATTTGGTTTCCTTTCTATGACCGCAATTTTTAGCCCTTGTACCCTTCAATTCAATCACTTATCTAACAAACTACAAACACTAACATGATCCAGTTTCGATTTTAATCAACTAACATGAAAAATTATCAATCTGCCGCATTATTATTTTATTACGTCATTTTCGAACGCCCGCAGCATTCTATAACTGGACCCCAAAAACCACCAGATTAATTATCTTTCATTTAAAGCCACCACACATTTTTTTTACAGCTTTCGTTTAAAAATTTAATTAAAATGAATTTTTCGTGGTTAACTTGCCGCCTTTTTTTATCATTATATTAAGTTGCACATTCCATTCCCCTGATATTACAATTTATGAAATAATAAACTTACTTCAGACAATACTTTATGTCTAATGCAAATATATTTAATTACACTTAAGTTTGGAGACAAACACAAATGTGCTAATTAATGGCTTAAACATAAATAAAAAATTGTCAACTAATTTGAATGATTTTTCAAACTCGACAAAAATTTAAAAAGTCAAGGTCGGAAATGCCTCATTTTTAATTTGATGAATGATTCGTGAAAAATTCGGAATTTGTCAGTTGAATTCGAAGCAAGTCAATAGCGGGGTCATCGACAGTGGATTTACATAATGGGGAAAAAAAGTTCAGAGGTGAATGTTTTAACTTTGGTTCCCTTGAACTGGGAGTCATTTGAAAAACAATTAATTCAGAAAAATAATTAGAGCAAGCTAGGGATATTTTAAGACTAGACATGAATAAAGATGATGTAACTTGTCTGATTTTTTGTAAAAATATTACAGTGAGAATAAATTTGATTTATTTTAAAAGGATTTTGTGTTTGTAATCATACAAAATAAGGATATTTGGGATGTGTGGTTTTATTTGTACAATATATTGGAGTGTATGTAATCTTGTTTTGAAAAATGTCAGGTTCAAATTAACGATTAAATATTTGTACAGTAATTGTGTCTTACCACATTGATATCTGGTGTTTTTCTATTAAAAAATACATTAATTTAAAAATATATTTATTATTAGGAAAATATTGCAACAATCACATCTTTCCATAAATACTTACTTCCAAAATTTATAAAATCAGGGACAATGAAATGTATTGAACAAAATACAGTGAAATCTCCAAATCATTCAAAATTCATGTTACACCAAGTCTTTTTTTATTGCAGTTAAGTTACTTTTTTACAATATTCATATAAAAAGACATCTGTATATATAATCAAAAAGTCGAGTTATTTTGTAGAAGGTGCTATCAAAATCACGTTTGATATATATTCTATACAAAAGACAGTGTATTTGAATTTTTTCCTACTATACATTTACATACATATATCTATGAAAATTAAATGTAACAATGTAACAAGCATTACTTAATCAATAAGCATACATTTTCTTAACAAAAAACTTAACCACAAAGTTTCACTTTTATTCTAAAGATACACAAGCTTTTGCAACAAAAATAAACTTTCCATTTAGAGTGATTTCACTGTAAATACAGATAACATGAACACAAGTGTATTTGTAACAAACTGAAATGATGAAAACAATTGTCTTTTTCAATTGACTGAGATTGTCAAATATTTAAGACTTTTTAGTGCCTTTTGACCAGGCTGCTGTTAACTTCCAAGCAAAATAAACCGAAAACATGTGGACTTGAAGAGCCAATAAAATAAATGCATACCACAACAATCCATAAGGGTAGCCCTAGAAACAACAATAGTCTGTATGTTTTTTGGATTTTCTGTCATACATACTTGCCAAATGTGAATATCTTCTATTTCATCCTCATCATCTGAAGTAAGATAAGTCCATACATCTCCAAAATAGTAAATAATGGCATAGAATAATGGCAAAAACCCAAAAAGACATAACCCTGCCACATATTGTTTCATTAATGAAACTCTGTTTTCTTTAATTGCAGTTAAACCCAAAAAAGAGAGCAACAAACTAATACACCAAATGTATTCCCACCAAAGAGGCTGCAAATCAATCCATGTACTCAAAATTAATCAATTCAAGCGTCTTTACCTGAGGAATGCTAAGTTCTTCAATTTCTAAAATGAATATATCTAATTTATCTAGAATGTCAGCCGATAGTTTTGCCAGCATTGCAAAAAACAGTAGGTAGTGAAAAAATATACAATATTTGAGTCTCGATTTATTTAAAGCACTAAAAAACTTCTCATTAGCATTTATTCAACAATTTTTAAAATTGGCATATTGTCAAATATGTTGGCATGGAACACTGTAGCCTTAAATTTTAGGTTAGAATATTTTTACCTTAAAGCATACTGGGGTGCTACTCGCTGCCTAAAAGCATGATCAGTACCATCCGTTCCCGGAGGGGTATAATACAGCCCCTTTGTAGCCATTATTCACTATTTACACATTCAGCAGCAAATAACCTAATAATAAATTTAATCTTTCTCCATCGCGGATGCCAGACAAGCTTCAAGGAGAACAGCTATTTTCCGCTACCAACCTCAACAAATAAAAACACCAAAAATATTACCAATACAAAATTTATTTAAAAAAAATATTATTGTTCACATCTTTATTAAACAAATTCGTCTATCAATTTAAAGGCACGACTTAAATTATAAAATCGGAAAACCGGCTTCCACGATTTTATCTCGTTTTCACTAAATGGGTCGCTAGTTTGATCATTTATGTCTTCAATTTTATTAGGAATGACTAATCTGCAACAAAATTTTCAACGAATGTTTATAAACTGTTCCAAAATTACCTCAACGAATGGAGGTACATCCTTTCCGGTTTAGTATCTTTTTTATTACTGTAAGTGTAGTCGCCTACAATTGTGTGGCCTATGTGGGAGCAATGCACCCTAATTTGGTGCCTCCGGCCTGTTATAGGCCTTATTAAAATCTTACTACTTGGATAATTTTCAAACAGGCCATTTTCAAGAACTACGATTAAAGTTCTTGCAGTTCTTGAGCTATTACCATGTGTTACACACATTTTTTCTACTTCTTTCACACTATTGTCTCTCCCTGAAACTTGCCTTATCACAAACTCTCCATAAAAATTATTAAATACACCTATCGGAAAATTGAGGTCAAGTAAATTTAAAGATAGATAACCCCTTACTAGGGCTATGTAATATTTTTTGCATTTGCGTTGTTGTATTGCTTTTGATGCCACTTGACACGCTTCTTTATGAATTGGTATACACATTAAGCCACTTGTGGAATAATCCAACCTATGCATAAAATAATATTCATGATGCAACCGATTCGAGGCCAAGTAGGGGAAATTTTTTTTCATAAAGGTTTGTATTGTTTCCTGGAATAAAAACAGTTATTTGTCCACGTTATTTCATCTCCTTACTTCATTTTTGTTATTGCTGTTAATTTTTAAATCGTAAGCTTTATCGATTATTATAAAATTGTTACTTGTGCGTACAATTTTTGTGTTTTTGTAAGTATCAGAAAACAAGTCACATATATTCTTATAGACTGTCTTCAAAATTTTGTGTATAAAAAAATAAAATTTCAAATGTGACATTTAAACTAGGTTAGCTGTCACGAGAGATCAATTCGGTGGTTTTAGGGGAAAATATAAATAAAACTAGTTATTTTTTTTCTTTTCGTGTATCTCCATCTAGTGTTTGGCCAACATATTATGGCAATTAACCTTGATGCTTGCAATTGTAACTTTTGAATAATTTTTGACACAGTAGTAATAAAAAATACATTTTTTCGTTATTATTTTTGTCTATTTTTCCCCTTTTTATTATTTCAAATTTTTTTCTGTACTATTTTCAAACGTCATGATTCAGTCCAATAATGGTCGAACAGTGTTGTATCTCAGCCTCAAACGTCAAACGGTCAAACGTCTATTTTTGATGTCAAATGATATTTTAATCAAACATTTAAAAATACGGCTTTTGTGAAAACAGAAAGTAAGGAATTATTGAAATTTTGTTTGTGTTTATATTAAATATAAAGTAATAAATAGATCTGTCTGTTATAAGTTGTTTTTTGATGGTTGAAAGTGTACATGTGTTGGTTGTGAAGTTCCACCTTTGTCTAATTACGTTTTATTGTTTTTTCCAGATAACATTTATAACAAATTTTTTTGACTACATACAGGTATGGTAGTGATGGTTGTTACTGTTAAGGAAATATGTGATAATGTTACTCTGGCACGAGAAATGGCAATGCTTGGAAATTATGAAAGTGCTGAGGTTTATTATGAAGGCTCCATTCAGATGATTAGCAGATTAATTCTTATGATACCAGAACCGTTGAGAAAAAACAAGTGGCAACAAGTAACAAAATATCATAATTGCACAACAAATTTAGCAATATTTTGTAGGTCCAAAAGAAAGTTGCGTCAGAATACAATGAGATTAAAGTGTTGAAGTCAATGTTACAAACACTGCGTTTGGAAACAAATGTTGAAGTTCCTATAGGGGCAAGGAGGTTGAGAGATGAGCCAGTACATGATAGCCTTGATCTCCAAGAAGATACTTTTGGAGCTCCACATGACCCTGATGTTTGGCCTCCACCAACTCCTGTAGATCACGGCTACATGCAGAGGTTTGTGTTGTACGATTTAAACACTTCTTTGTCTAATGAACATTATAGGAACAGTTTCTCAAAACCTAGATTGTCAAATTTGAAAAAACCTGAACCTAAAAAGGGAGCTTCTAGAGCAAGTTCTTCTAATACTACTAGAAGATCAGATGTTCGATCTATCAAAACGGGGAAGAAAGAAGATAGACCTTCATCATCCAAATCAGAAAGGAATCCAGAAGGAAAAGCAGACAAGGAAAAAGATGTAGATAGTAATGAAAAAAATGATAAGGCCGAGACTGAAGAAGAGAAGAAATTTGAGTGTCATGGAATGGAAAGGGAATTAGCGGATGTTTTGGAACGAGATATTGTCCAAAAAAATCCTAACATTCATTGGGACGACATTGCTGATTTGCATGAAGCTAAAAGATTGCTGGAAGAAGCTGTAGTTCTTCCAATGTGGATGCCGGAATTTTTTAAAGGTAAGTAGAATTGTCTGAAATGTTATTTAAAACAAAATGTTGTTTTTTAAGGTATAAGAAGGCCTTGGAAAGGTGTTCTTATGGTGGGTCCACCAGGTACTGGGAAAACGATGTTGGCTAAAGCAGTAGCTACAGAGTGCGGTACGACATTCTTTAATGTGTCTTCATCTACACTCACGTCAAAATATAGAGGTGAATCAGAAAAAATGGTTAGACTTTTGTTTGAAATGGTTGGTATTAAGTTGTTACTTTAGTATAGTCAAAATTTTGGGACGATTTATTTTAGGCTAGGTTTTACGCTCCAAGTACGATATTTATTGATGAAATAGACTCCCTCTGTTCTCGCAGAGGATCAGAATCTGAGCATGAAGCATCAAGACGCGTCAAGTCTGAACTCTTGGTACAGATGGATGGCATTACTGCAAATAATGATGAACCAGGAAAGGTTGTTATGGTACTTGCTGCTACTAATTTTCCGTGGGATATAGATGAGGCTCTTCGCCGACGTTTAGAAAAACGTATATATATTCCATTACCAACTCAAGAAGGTCGTGAAGCATTACTTAAAATTAATTTGCGAGAAGTGAAATTGGATCCTGATGTAAATTTAAGTGAGATTGCGGAAAAATTGGACGGCTTTTCTGGTGCTGATATAACAAATGTGTGTAGAGACGCATCTATGATGTCTATGAGGCGTAAAATTTATGGCTTAAAACCTGATCAGATCAAACAGCTGCCTAAAGAAGAACTTGACTTGCCTGTTACGAATAGAGATTTTGAGGAGGCGTTACTTAAAAATAATAAAAGCGTTTCAAAAGATGATTTGGACAAGTATGAGAAGTGGATGAATGAATTTGGATCATCATGATAGCTCTATTAATGAACACAGTTTTAACCATTGTTGTGTGATATTATAATGCTTTATAGTTTATACTTACTTAAATTTCATGTTTACAGTTATTTAATAATACTTTATTCTTATCAAAATTTTATTGTTAGTGTTGAATAATTGTTAATTTTAATGTAATACATTGCTACAAAATTTTGCACTTTCTAGTATTGTAAAATGCCATTTTGTCATGAATTTTTTTATGTTTATCCTAAATCTTTTTTTTATCTGGTTAATAGTCATTTATGTCTTATTACATTATCATGCCTGACTCTTTAACAACTAATTAAAGTAATGCCATAATCTTGTGGGTTCAATTATTTCTCTATTCTCTAAAATATTCTACTCTAGAGACAGTGTAATGTAACATTTAAACATTTTTTTGACTATAAATTAACAAAATAAATAATACATATAAATCACGTTTTATTTTAAACTATATTTCCTGCTTGATCATGAATATCAAATATGTGTTGATGAGATTATTATAAGGGATGAGTTTAGAATTGTTGTTAATTGGTGATTGTGAATATTGATTTAAGTTCGTTAGTAGAGTAAATGAGTGGGTTATAATTATTTTAGTCATTTTGTTTTGTTTTGAAATTGGCGGGTTTTCTGTCGACTTGTGAAAAATCCGCGCGTTTCCAAGTCGGCTGTGGAAGACAGCGCCACAATGGTGTAAGCGCAAGTATGGCGAAAAATAGATCTGTGTTTTAGAAATTTTTGTGTGGCTTTAAATCGTTTACTTTCAGTTTTTTTTTGGAGAAATGGTAAACTTGTAATGTCGGTGAGTTATGTTTGGCGTATTTGTATTGGGTGTGTGTTAGAAATGCGTTAATTACATGATAATATGTTGGCGTAGGAATCGGAGCTTTACCCATAACCTCCTTTCGTGTTATTGGAGTAGATACGGAATTAAGTTGTGTGTGTCAGATGTGTCCATCATTTTGGATTATTCAAAAAGTTTGGTGGCGTTATTTATTTACAGAATCGGAAAAGTGTTAAAGTGAGTAATCTAGTATGTGTTTACTAGGACCCGGGTGCGATTCGGGCTCCCAAAATGAAGGAAAGCATCCGTTGCTGACTATAACGGCGGGGTGTTGGCAACGATCGGCCGTGCTAGATCGCAGCCGTTTTTCTTAACATGGCTGCAACGCAGGCCGAAAAGCAGCAAAATGACGTGAATTGTGAGAAAGTGCAGCCGGATCAGCATCTGAACGTGCGGAATTCCTTGTTGCAAAATGGGACCGATAAGAGTGGAGTTCGCGGAGGCGGCGGTGTAGCGGTCGCCAAGGCGAAAAACACCGGCGGCAAAAACCTCGTCACTGAAATGAGTCAATATCGCTCGGACGGCAGCGGCGGTCCTACGGCCACCACGGGGACTCCTGGTGGTCCTCCCGACCCGGGCCCCGATGCCGAGCCGGGGTCCGGCAGCGCGCCCCCCGACGCGGCCGCCTTTCCTGTCGAGGGCCCCCCCGCCGATGGGCACGGCTATGGCTTTTCCTACGGCCGCGACGTCGTTCACAACACCGCCGAGGGCGTCCACGCGTTCGGTCCGCGGCAGACTTACGGGGGCTCCAAGCAGGCGCCCGGGGCACCCTATCCTCAAAGATTCGTTTCGGGGCAGACTCTTTCGCAGCCCACCGGCCCGACCCCAACGCTCAACCAGCTGCTTCAAAGCTCCAACCCGATGCCCCCGCATCGATATCAGAACAGCTACGGCCACCCCGACCAGCCGTATAACCAGGGGTGGCCACCCCAGAAGCCGATGCCCACCTACGGGACTCCCCCGGCGCCGCAACCGGGGGTCTCGCCGACACCTTACCGCAACCAACCTACGGTAAGTCATTTCATGACACCAACCCCACGGATTTGCTTTCTCCTAAACTAAATCATGGCAGGAAAAAGCGACCCGACTCACCCACCCGACGCCTCAAACCTCACCTCCACGTGTCCACTACACTTCTCGCTCCCGCTCTTTGACGATCCGCCGGAAGACGTTCGGATGACACGGTGGTGCATATATTTGTTAATTGTTCAAGTGTATCTAAACATGCTAAGTCCGTCCTTGAACTTGCTCTGACATACGATTACCGCACCGCCCACTTTGTTATTATGCAATCAGCTGACGTGTCGCAAATGTGACGTCAAACGGGAACCGTACTCCCACATATGCCCGCCCTTCAACCCCCTCGAAGTTGAAAGCTTTTGGTTCGCTTCTTACCCTTTCTTCTATTTTGACCTCAGTTGTGAGGATTACACCACATCTTCCTCTTTTCCTCTCTAAATTCTGCAACTTCTCCAGCGGATCGATCATTGTGATCAGAATCTATAACAATAACAACATATTTACTTTTATTCAAAAACACAATAAATAATATCTCACACTTGACGCATAAAACTCAACCAAATTTCTAATGACCTGACTCAACACGTTATTTATAGCTTAGTTTTAACAATACTTGTTGAATAACGATATCACAAATAGGAAGTACTACAAATTATGTTTTTAATAAATAAAACATAACAACTGTGACGAGTATTTATTTATTTAAACGTTCCAAATTATTTTTTAACATGTAATTATACTCCAACAAGCTTTCTTTTTCTTTTCACGTCGTAAGTTTTAATTTTATTAATTATAATAGTAATTAAGCAAGCAGGATATGGTATGTAACAAAACAAATTAACATTATTCGTAAATAAATTTTTTGAAACAACGTAATTTTTAAATATTTTATTGTTTTTAAAATGGTTCAACCACAACGTACGTTTTTGCACATTTATTTTCACTTGTTGTGTGACACCGTGAAAGTATAATTTTTTTTTGTTGATTGGTTGTAAATTTAAGCGTCTCATTTATATTGTCGTTCTTTTAAAATTATTTGTATCAGCTGAGAACTGGAAGCCGACAAAAGAGGAATCAACACATTTATGGTTATTTATCGACGTCCACTCCTTTAAATATACTATTGAGTTACGAACGGAATATCATCCAGTTTAGTAATCAACTTGCAATAGTATTTATTTTTTTAACACAAGTGAAAATAACAACTGTACTGCGAGTACTACGATTTCATTGATAAAACTTTTGATCTCATTGTAGGTTACGTTTGTGATACATAATTCGGAATGTGCAGAACAACGGTTTAAGTTAGGACTTTAGGGGTTGCTTTAAAACTTAGTTCACTTTAATTTAATTACTATCTTGTTTATTATACATATTTATTTTATTTCAATTACGGAACTTTAAATTGATTCTTATTATATCATGTTCATACAAAGTTTATTCCTTATAAATTATCAGTATCACACATTCGTACGGTATTTTTATTACGGAAATTATGTTCCGATATATGAGACGTTCAGCAAGCTTCAATGATAAGGGGCTAAGCACTTTGATTAATTTTCATTTTTATTATAGAAATATGTACGTTTCGTGTTTTGCAAACTTCCTTTTATTTTTTGTACCGCAATAACAGTAATCTAATAAGAAATAAGTAAAATAATCTTGTACGTTTACTAATTGTATCATTTGTATTTGAATGTTTTATGTGTTTATTTTTACAGTAAGTAGTTTATTTATTCTCTATGATAGTTGGCAATGTGAAACATTAATTACTTTTCTTAAATATTCTTCAATATCAAGTAGGATTTTTTGTTTTCAAAAACAAAATTAATTAATCATATGAGTAAATAAAACTTAAACAACTATCATATAATCTGTATCCACACATTAGTTTACAATTAATTATATAATGATGATTTAATTTTTCATATCATAGTTTTTTTTAAGTTTTGATACATACAATAATAATCAGTATATGTTGTATATACTGTTTTGTAAGTGTACCTGAATTTTTCTTTAATTTATGAGGAAAGGAAAAGATTTTCTAATTCCAACATGAGTGAAGCTCACAATAGTGATGTAAAAATAATGATTTGGCTCGTAGCAGACGGGTTATTCCTTTTTTAAAATGTTGTTTTTGGTGTTGAGGGTTTGTTTTCGTAACATACGTAGTTGAAATGTAAATAGGATTTATTCCCATTCACATATATCGTAAAATAGCAGATCGGTAACAACTTGGTCGTTCCGTCGGTTAGGGTTATCTTGTAGAAGTTTATAGGATGTTTAGAAGTTGTTTCTATCTCTTATGTTTATTGATTTGGATAGTTTGACAAATGTGAAGGTGTTGAGTTGCGAATTGAACGGAAACTTTGACACTTATTCGTTTTAAAGTTGTTTTTTTCAATTTCTTAATTGAATTTTATTTTCTTCCTCGTTCCATTTTGCGGAGGTATTCGAATCAGGATAGGACATTTACTGACGTCAGTTTTAGTGTGCTAATAATACGATGTTTAATGGTTAGTTGGGAAATAGAGTGTGATAATTTAAATGTGCACTTTGTCCTCCGAATAGCGTGGTGATTTATGAGCGTCAGAAAGTCGAACTTGTATTGCGGAATGTGTTGCGGTAGGTCAACGGTAGCTATTGTACCTATTCCGACCCCTAAAAACCGTCCCTCCCTTATATGTATGTACACGTTAGCCTGGACGTTAACGTGTACCGTATTTGAGCCTGGTTTATCGTTTTCAGCTATCGCCGGCGTACAGTGGCGGTTCGGCACCCAGTCCTGGCTACGGGGAGGGCCGATCAGGGTGGGCCGGGCCCCCGGTGTCGGGACAGCACGGCCCCGGAAGCCCCGGCCCTCCGAACACGACGGCACCGACAAGTCAGCCCTCGCCACAGCCTCCCATCAGTCACTCTCCAGGGCCTGGCCTCCCGCCCAGCCCACAACACCAGCAGCAACAGCCACCCCAGCACCAGGGTTTCCCGAACCGGCCAGCCCAGCCGACTACTCCCAACGCACACGCGCCAGATGCAGCGGTAAGTGTCGCACCACCACCGCCACCCTTCAATCGGAACGTTCTTACGATTATGATAAACTGTTACGTAATAGTGCGATATAATTAACCGCGCTCTTGACCTTTATGATCCGACGATGTAGACAGCACGTGTTTTTGTTGTGGGTGGGGTGGGTCTGTCCCGATGGTGGGGGACTCCAATTATATGCATAATATCTTAATTAGTGACGCGTTCGAGAATTTACCCGAATACCCCGTAATAAATAAACAAGTGCAATACCGAACGCAGTGCACGAATTCTCCTTCTCTCTCTATTTACATTCAAATTTACTTTCTTTTACATTTTTCATAGTACGTCATTTACAATTCAAATATACAATACACAGATGGATTTTATCACTTACTACTTACATTTATCTAACCTCATCTACACTAATCTACTTTTAATGTTGTTTATGTCATAAAGACATATTGTTATCTTGGCACAATACAACTAGAAACAAAACATTTATTATTAAATTCAACTTTCGTTTATTCACAAAAAAAACAAATGTTAAATCACCTGACAGTTCATATAAAACTTTTTATTCAGACTCGATTAAAGGGTTTGATCATAAATCCATAAATATTGCTGAAAGAGAAGAGTTTTATAACAGCAATATAATGGCATAACAAGAGTACCCCTTTTAACAAAGTGATTGGGGCTTTATATTTAACTGTTTGTGAAATACTTTTATATGATAATAATTTAAAAGTTGTTCTACAACCGGAAATAATAAGAATGTCTATACGTTTTTTTGTGATTTGGAAAATAGTGTTTATTAAAAATTTATTAAACAAAGTGCTTTGAGAAAATCGCTAATAAGACAATTCTTTTGACATTTTCATTCACTATTCCATTTCATAAGAATTTAATACTTAGTATCACAATAAAATAAATATTGGATTTACAAAGATAATTCCATTTGAAATATGTAATTTTTGTAAATAACTTCCAGAGACTGATGGTCTGGATAAAACTTAGAAAAGTACTTTGTAAAAGAAATGTTTATTTATCTCTTCTGATTTTCATAGAGAAGAAAAATGTCTGCACTTTGTTTCGCTTGAAAAAAATGTAACTAGTAATATCTTTGCATCTTTAAAACATTAAATTAATTAAATTATTTTGTAAAGTAGCTGTGGTAGCGTAGATTTGTCATCGTACAAGTGCACATTTATATTTTATGTTACTCGTGAATTACTTTGCATTTTCTTCTTTCTGGAACAACTTGTACTTTTCGTGAACAGAGTTTTCTAATTTAGTTTCAAAACAATAGATATTATTTTTTATAATAAATTTAATATTCTATAAAGAGAATAACTTAACAAAATGATCAAGAAAATTATCTATATGAAATAGAAATTTATGGAAATGGCTAATGGTAATGCATGTCAAACGGCATTAGCAGTTGTTGTTGTATATAGGTGACAATGTTTAACATTTAATGGCCAACTAAGTGGCCAATTATTCTCGTTATTATTGATTTTTATTTTATTTTCTTTCAATCGAAAATAGTAATACTGTAATAGAAAATTGAATTTCATGTATTGACTGTTTTTTTATCAAATTTTTGGAATAAATTTTAAATTTAAAGAGGTTTTTTATTAGATAAGTCAGAACAAAATTATTTTACAGTCTAGTGTTTTGTTGGACTATTTTTTAGGTCAAATTGACTCGAACCATTTGTATTCTTAGACAGGTGAAACTGATATTTATTTCTTTTGTTTACTGACTATAAAAAGTAAGTTAAAAATTTTACTATGTAATAATATCGTAGTAAATGTGTTAATATTTTTATTCCACTAATATCGAGATTCTATTCACACTTTTTTCAATTAAACTTTATTAATTTCAGTATATATAGTATATAGATGGAGACAAATCAGTAGAAGAAATGTTGAAGTACATTAGTTTCTGCAATTAACTTATCATTCTTCTTTTATTTTAGATATTAACATCAATAGAGATACAGTTGTCTAAAAAAATTCTGAAGCAAATTGTGACGTGTTGTCGTCATAAATTCATTCAATTTTTTCGTTATTTTACAACTCTGACGTATGTGAATTATTCAAAACACATCATCAAATGACATCACGTGTAATTTTATTTGTATATGTCACTTTGCCTTACCTCTTTTCATAGAATTAATATTTTCTTTTTGAAGAGTCTAATACGTTTTTTACGTGCAACATAGATGAATTTTTTTTAATATGACAGCTAGTGAATAATTGCACATCTACGAAACGGATTTTAATTAAATTTTGATAAATAATGTATTACTTAATTGTTTGGGGTGATCGGATAAAAGTTTGGAGCAAGGTGATTGTCGTAAAAGTGTTTACTAGTCAACACTTCCATTTTAGGTTTGTTCCAATATGTTAATCTGTTCACCATTTATGTTGACGTAGAGTGTACTCAACTGAACGTAATTGATTTTATTTAAAACGACAGTCGAACTTCGATAAAAATTGTAAAAAGTTTCAATCGAGGTTTTACTGTACGTATTAAATTAGGATGTTGATTAATGTTGGAATTTAAGTAGTGTGAAGGGTAAGTAAAGGGTGGAGGTAAAATGAATTTATGTTGCGGTGTCGTGTCGTATCGTCGTTTTTGTCTGTTTAGATGGCTATGCGTTGATGGTAATGGGAGTTGACAAGTTGATGTGGCGACGTAGTTGGAGAGTTGTTTGCCGCCGCCATGGCCTGCGTCCTGCGTATTAAAACACACACGCCGCGTGCCTCTCGGCCTACGAAGTGCCTGAGCCTCTGTCTAGGCCTCTCCGTTGTCGTGTTGGCGAAACGTTGCCGTGTTGCCGACTGCCATGTAACCCGCTAAGTGCCGCTCGGTATTGATTGGTTCTGGTAGAACCGGCAACGCTGCTTGCTACAGTACGCTGCACTGCATTTTGCTCGGGCTCAGCCCTCTCGATCGTTCTGGTGACGTTGCACTCTTATAACCTCTCGCTGGCCTGCTTGGTGTTTGTGTTACTGCCTCAGCTATAAGGCTATAGCTGCATTTCAAAATCCTTCTCGCTTCCTTTTTCACTTCGCCGCTCCTCCATGACTCTCTTCGTTCAAGAGACTGACTCGTCACATTTTTTCTCTTCTTTTTCATCGTAACTTTACTGCCTTGAATTCTTTTTAGCAACTACATTAATCGGGCGTTTTTCAGATTGAAACTGATAATTAATTTCATTGCAGTGTTATTAAACTTTCGTTTTTTAAATTTATTAACGAAAATCGATTTTCCTGTTATTTTGTCTCTACTTCGTTCTGACAGAGGAACGTTTTCTGCTAAGTTAAATATTTATTCTAAGCGAAAGTCGTCATTTTGTTAAAGCTTTCAAAAATTATAGGTACATTATTACTATTTTTTTGAAAGACTTTTACTGACTTTCTTACAATGTCGTTATTTTAGTATCATACATATATTAAATGCCACTATCGAAATCTCTCTCTCGTAATAAGTCTGACCACATGGTGGGAAACGTAAAATGTTTGGTAGCAAGCCAGTCTGTGAAAGTTGGGCAATTGTCAAATTTTGCTGAAACGAGCGGCTTTTAAATTCTCTTTAGGAAATATACAGTTATTTAGCCTAAAAGCCGGTTTTCTTATATTTTTGATTGAGTAAAACAAATGTAGTAGTGATGGGAACTTTATAAGAAAACATTATATCCTGAATAGATGTTATCATTGATCAATTATCCAGGGGTGCGTTTTACGCCATGTCGTGCATAATTTATTCCTTTGTGTCAATTAGAGTTTGTATAATGATTATGACGGAGGGTTGCTTTTTTCAAGAGTGTATACCGGTTGAATGATGTTGTTCGGAGACATTTAATGTGACAGAAGAATGCTTACCGTTTCTTTTTACGGGAAGATGATCAAATAAAATGATCAGGAATCGAGTGGAATTCCGATGGTGGAAGTTGAATACACAATAAACCGGCATAATTGGCTCAGATGTGTGGCAAGGTCATGTTACGTCACAACGCGCCGCATTTATTAGAGAAAAGTGCAATTGCATCGGACTATATGTTCCTCTATTTCCAACTCATGCTAATTGCGAATTCAATTTTCCTCCGACATGTGTAGGATGTTGGATGTTCATTACTGTCGACTGTGGTGGAAATTTTTTACTCTAAATGATATTTTTTATTGTGTGTACAAGGATGTAATATGCAGTCAGATCCTGGTTTATTTTTGTTTGTGTTTGTTGTTGGAATCGATTTCGGTTTAATGTACTCTGTGTTTTACCAACTCATTATGATCAAATTATTTACATAATTTCAGATATGGTTTTTGGAGTTCATTTTTATCTGAATGGAATTTTTGATCGTATTGAAAGAGAATCTACATTTCAATTTTTTTTACTGGAATTCATTTTATGGTAGTGTAATTTATTTATTTTCGGAATACTACGACATTTTCGTAATTGTTTTAAATACAAACTTGATATCAACTTGAATTTTGTATTAACACGTACAAACTCGTGTTCTGCTTGAATGATATGGACCTGTGTATGGTTTATAAGAGAAATTTGTTTAGCTTTCCATAAGAAGAAAGTTATAGCTAGATGTGTATAGTAACATGTAGAATATCGTTTTTGTGATCTTTGGAGGTAGTTTATCTCGTAATTTAAATTTTAAATTAAAAATGCTTTGAGTATTAACAGTTGGTAATCAAATAAAAAAATCTACATTTACCGTTGACTTGAAAACTTTATTGAATATCGAGTACGTGTGATTGTAGCGGCATTCATTAATTATTGGATGAGTAGACGGTGGCGTGTGTCCGTCGGCCATATGATCTGTTTAATTTATTGGGGTTTGAAATGTGTGTTAGTTTGGATTTGGCCTCGACGGATCGATCGGGATGTTTACCAGTGGGCTTTTTAAGGGGGTGCGTCAAATTCGTTTGATTTCGTTTTTTCTGTTTTGAAAGAAAGAGTGGTAGAGATCGCTGACCTCTCGAGAACAGAATGATTTATATTAGGGCCTCGGACTATGAAGTCCTGTTGTCGGTGCCGACGTTATACGGAATAATACGGGATGAACTTTCTAGACCTACCCTAATCTAAATCTGGGTCGTCTGTGTGACGGCTGTGCATAAAATAAGTAACATCACCACCACCTGTCGTGTGCCTCGTGAATGGGCTAAGGACGACCGTGCATAACAAATAAACCTGTGCTTCCTGTTATAGTTCACTAACAAAATTTCTACCTCATCCCTCTAAATTACTCAACTTTAACTGCAGCAGGTTTTACACCAAGGGGCCAAAATAACAAAAAAAAATCGTACTAACCTCTTTTTTATCTAAACCATTATGTAACCCATTGCCGCTTGACTATCAGCCATCTGTTATCCTACTTAAGGTATTCACTTCCAAATAAAAATAAGATGATCTTCTTCAAACTGTGAACAAGTCAGTTGTAAAGATGTTTGACGCTTTAATGAGTTAATAGTTTTATTAATCACTTGTTTTAGTAGGAGTTTTAGTAGAAAAAAAGAGAATTATTTCAGTTACTTCTATTCTCATCTCAATTTTACTCAGAAAAAGATGAAAGTTCTGTACAAAGTGGTATATTCGTTGAAGCTATAAATTTTAGTGGACATTGAAACATTACTAGAACTTCAAGAAGATTAATTGTGTTCTTGTATTTTAGAGATTCCACCATGTCTTTAAATTGTGCGATTGAAATAAGACAGGGAAAATAAATATTAAATCGACCGACTTCCGTTCATTTATGAATGGAACTTTGTAATCTTAAAAATTCAATTAGTGTCATTGTTAAATTATCACAATTGTGAAATATTTATTTACTAACAATTACTACAATATCAATATCGTAATATGTTAATTTAATATTAATTGTCTAGTTTACAAGTTTTATTACTTAATACATTACGTAATTAGTTATCTTAATATTTTTTCGATAGTGACTCACGTTTTAAAATTGTATTTTGTATTTAACCGCAGCGATTAAATTTTACATGTCTGGAGCAAAGTAACCGTTCCGTCATATTTGTAATTAAATGTGAAAGTAATTCTTTGTTATAAAAAAGATTTGTTTATTTAAATGCAAAGGATAATTTGAAAATAAATTTTTAAATTCCTGTTGAATAAATCAGAGTTTTTTTACTTCCGTATTCTAGTCTCGCTTTATTTCTGCAGATGTTGTTTCACTGGAGGAAGTATTATATTATCGGTAGTTTCCTATTACAATAATATTCTTATAACTTTCTTGGAGGATGTAAACATACCGACAGACAACAGTACCAGATGGGGGTAATTGCACTAAAGGATGTAAATAAGATGCAAAAACATAACAATTAATTAGAAATTTATTTTGTATTACTTCGTCGAGTAGGATTTTGGCGAATAGTTTGTTATCATTTACTTATCAATTTTTACAAATAATTTTCTTTAAGAAATAAATATATATTGTAAGAGATATTCGAAAAATTGTCACAGAATTAGATATTTTGAAGGACGCTAAAAAATAGGATTTGATCCACAGCCGTCATTATCTTCTTAATTTTTTTTTCTTCGTGGTTACAATGAAAAAACTCGTTATTGTGTGAAAGTATAGATTTTTAGAAGCAGATTGATGGCAGCAAACATTTTGCACATTGCATGTCTTCATGCATTTGCAATTTTTTGTGGTGTTGGCATTTTTTCCATCACAAAACCACACGCGATTTATTCTTATTATCGGACATTATATTTGTTATTTACTTTTGCTAGGTCTTATTACGTTATCTACCAACTTGATTCGTCCGTTATCATGAGTGTTTGACTTGGGTTTTGACGCTTGTGGGGTTTTCGTGAGATTTTCTGTCGGAATGTTAAGTTTCATTGACTTCGTGTCTTTTTTTAAATCGAGTCTAGTTTTGTAAAGATAAAACCTACTGCTGAATTAGCAATACCAGCTGTTTTTCTCCGTTGGTATGTTATCAGTTTTATTATTTACCTTGACGGCAAATGAGGAAACAGAAAGTTATTCAACAATTTGTTCGGGTCAATGAATTTTCCTTTAAATTTTTTTTCCTAACGTGATAATGAAAAGTGGCAATTATCTGTGGCATTATTTATGTAATTAATGTAAATTTCACCGATTTTATTAAATGAATATTGTTTACACTCGATAATGAGTTTGTTTGAGTTTACAATAGAGTCAATGTGATTTTGTGTGAAGAATGAATCATTTTTGAGTTTGCATAATAAAAATTATTTGTTTTGAATGTTTTATAAATCAAGTTACAATAATTTTGGTTACATGATTTATTTTTGGTAACAATATTTCGACTCCCCTGTAACTGTAAATAGAAAATTCAAAGCAAGCCATCTAACTCTGACCTAAAAGGAGCAAGGCCGTTTTGTGGTGTGAGGGGTGGGGTTGAATAAATAGCGTAAAATCAGCTGTTGGAAAGGACACGCCGAGGGTTTTCAATTCGTTGTTTGGGACAAGGAAGAACGTGCGTGAGTTCCACGCAATAAACACTAACTTATAATTTTGCTAGTTTCTTAGTATTTCGAGTGATTATGAAGGATGGAAAAATACGTAGTCATGTATTATTAAATACAATTCCAAAAATTTGCTACAAGAAGTAAAGATAATTTTGTCATTTGTTTTATTTAATAACAGTAATGTGCGTTCTTTCATCTCTTTTGTCTTCATAATTCTATTATTAAACTGCTTTTAGATGAAACAAGTAAAATGCAATTGTGTGGGCGTTGGTAGGTTGAATGATTTCTTAATAAAATAATTTTCAGCTCGTACGTTTTATTACTGTGTTATGGTCTTCCATACAAGTCATTTCTTGCGAGCGTTTTAGTGTTTAATCCATTTTTGTTTTTGTTTAAATTGCGATTATACTTTGTATAATTAGGAATGATACTGTTGGTGTATCCGGTCTTGTTTCAAATGGATTATAAGTTCTCAACTTACAACTGAAAACCCATTAAAAACACATTTTATATTTGCGAATTACAAACGTTTTAATTAAAACATTTTGGAGTGGATGTTATAATAAGTCTTTTTTGTTTATACAAAATTTAAATGTAAAGTGAATTTTGAGTCTTATTATTCTGTTTTATGTTCCAGGAAAAGTGTAGAAACCCAAACAGCAACTCATTTGTATAATGACATGGAATAATTGTGTATAAGAGAGAATATAATCCATTTTTATGTTTATGTGATAAAATAAAGATAATGTTTATTTTAATATTGAAAGGAGGATGAAATAATGTTATCTGTTCTTTTCTTGCACGTTTCGTGTATGTTTGAATTAAAATAGACTTACACTTGTTTGATTGTTCTGTTCTATTTTTACGTGGGTTCATTAATTATGTCCAAGGTCGTAATTGGGTCGTAAAATATGCGTTGCGGGGTGAAAACGGATAGTTTTGAATGGGGGTTGTTATTCCGAATACTATCCAATCGAAATTAATGTTACATTAATGATGACGTATGTGTTTGTTGCAGGATTTGAGCGGCGGTAACAGCAATGACAGTTCCGGAGGACCAGCTCCGGGCACACCAAATTCCCAAGGGATGAGGCCCACACCTTCTCCCACGGGATCGACGGGATCGCGCTCCATGTCTCCCGCTGTCGGTCAGTATATACATACATACATTCACTCCCACGTGATTCGCGTGTAACCCCAACCACGTGCTCTCACTCCCATTGACTGCCGAGAGCAACTTCGATAAAATGCGGATGCGGGTCTCCTCAACATTGACCTACATTTTACTGCCGGAGCCGGCATTCCGGGTGCACAATAAACCACACTTTAACGGCATCGCATCTTGCCGAATTCTTTACATCCCTTGTATTTGAAGTGGGTTCAATAAAAACGAAGCTTTTACAAAATTTCACACAGATCGACTCACATTAAGGTCTTTCATAGTCACGTTTTTGACAAGGGAAGCTACCAATTGAAAATCAATAAGAGTCAGAGAACTTGACGTATGCGACATTCAAACAGTTCAAACTGGATAAGATACATACATAAAATGTTTTAGATATGTACATGATTTCTTATTTGATGAAATTTATAACATTAAAGAACTTTTATACTTATTCTTGATATGTTTAGTTTATTTCACAAAGAAAACATCATTCAATTACTTCAGTTCATCCAGTTAATGCGTCGTCTTGAGAAAATGTTATTCGGGACCGACTTTTTTAAGGAAAAAATTATTCAAGGTTGACCTGATCTGTCAAAAACCTGATTATAGAGATATTTTTGTGTTGTAAATATTGCTGTTAATAAAACAATAAATATTTTCATTTTCATAAAACACAAATAGTTTTATTAATTTTCGTATTACACAAACTAACAGATTATAATCTGTACTTGATAAGGCAAAATCAAGTAATTTTGCATTAGACAATATAATACTTGTCTAGGTTTGTTCAAGTTACGTTATTTTTTTAAACTCATTTTTAGAAAAATGAACATTTGTTTTTTAATATCGTGTTGTATAAAATTATAGTATGTAATTATACAGGGTGCGCCAGAACTCGCGCCCCAGAGAAAAATGATGTAATGTATGATACCAGGAACTTGGAAAAAATGTTAAAAAAATCTATCTATAAAAATTTCGAAGTTATAAGAGTTTAAATTTTGCATTTTGACTTCATTTCTGTTGGAACAATAATTTTCCAAGTTTTTTTGTTACAGGCTATTAAAAGAGGAAACAAGGAAACTGTATCCTACATTGTAACTCTGTTTAATGTTATTTGTGGCTTTTGTTGGCAAAATTTTTGTACTTTTACTAAATAATTATAAAACATACAAGATCATCAGTCATTAAATAGACATAAAAAATGTCAAATGTCAAAAAATAAATGTCAAAATTTTATTACACGTAGAATTTTTCATACTCCTGATATCTTATCTTACTTGAAATTTTTGTCTGGGGCGCGAGTTCTGATACATCCTGTATTTAATTAATTATTCGTTTATATCGTCGTCGATTATTTTGTTGCAGACAATATAAAAAACATTTATGTATAGCGTTATCATTATCAACAGGTAATAGGGTATAATCTATTCTCTGTGCTGTTGTATATTGACTTTAGATTTTAAAAATTTTGTTTATTTACGACAGTATAAATTTTACTACGTTGAAAAAATTATTTTCAATGTAGTTATTAAAATCAATATTTTATTGAGATGGTGTGACCATTATGACCCCGGTAAAATGTTTTACGACAGTTTTAATAAAGGTTTAATCGAAAAGGACTTCTAAGCTGTTTAGATCTCGATTACTTGGCATTCACTTGTACAGTCACACCTACGCCAAACCTAACATTACAAACTTTTCAAAATTGCTTGAATTCCGAAAATAGAAGCAAAATAAATATTACGAATATGTATGCAACATTACAGATCAGAAATTTTTATGTATGTGATGGATAAAAATAAAGTTTTTTTTTGTAAGTTTAATATAACAATCGAAGCAAGGTAGAATAGGTACGATATTTTATCCTTGCAAATGCGCAATGATGAGTTTAAGCTTGCAGTACACATTATTGTTGGGGGATGTTTGAAATTTTATATGCTGATGTTATTTGTTACTGTTTTTTTTATCAGATATCTTATGTTTTCCGGGATTTATTTTTGCGCCAACTTCCGGCCGCCAAAAACCTGTAGAAAGTGTTTGTGAATTGTGCTGCCAAAATTTGCTAGGACTTTTTGAACGATTTTTTTTGAAACATTTTCCGAAGATTTCCATCGTGTGAGATGGGTGTAAGGCCCGTTTTGTGTTTGTGATGGTTGTCGTGTCGGTGTCAATAGTGAAACATTCAAGTGTCAAGCATCGTCTTCATTCGTTTTTGTTTTTTCAGGTCAGCAAAACATTCCGATGCCTCCTCGGCCGTCCAGTGGTCAATCAGATGGCAGTGGATCAACACGAATGAGCCATTCGCCGATGGCAACGCAAGGCAGCTATTCGGCGCAGCATTCGTCGCCCCATCCGGCCCACGTTCATGGTTACAAGGGCCATCCCGGCATGGTGTCCGGCCCTGGCCCAGCCGGTCAACAGATGCCACTTTATCAGCCGAACCAACAGTACCCACAAGGCGGTTATCCGCCGAGGCCCCAAGCCAACATTCAGTATCCCGGTCAGGGCTACGGCCCTCCGGCGTCCCAAGCGCCACCGCCCAACAACATGTCTCCTCAACAGTATCCGAATCGGTCGTCCAATCATATGCCGAATTCCCAGTTTCAACCTTATCAACAATCGTGGCAAGGACCGATGACGTTAGCGAAAGGTAACGGACCGCCGCAAGCACCAGGATCACCCTCGCCAGGTCCCCCGGGACCACCGCCGCGACCTCCGCACTACCTCAAACAACATTTACAACATAAAATGGGTTTCGGTAATGTACCTGGATCGGCACCACCGAGTCCTAGTCCGCCACAGAATTACCACATGGGTCCGCCACCTGCGGGACACCATCATACGGGAATGGGACCGCCACCAACGATGGGACCGCCGCCGAATATGCCACCCACGAGCAGTCCTCTAATGCCTAATAGTCATTCACATGACGGTCCGATGCCGCCACCAAGTTCTACACCGAATTCCCATACGCAAATGGGTTCCGAAATGATGGATAATGGTATTACGACAACTGCACAAGGTGGGATGAGTACTCACGTAACCACGGCGGCGGGAGGATCTGTTACTTCTGTTGTTACAACAGGACCCGATGGGACACCTATCGATGAAGGATCGCAACAATCCACATTGTCAAATGCATCAGCCGGTAATAAAACAAGTAGAATTTGTTTATCTTATCTATGTACAAATAAAACCTTTCCTCAAAAAGATTTCAATAAATTTAAAATGTATGCAATTCAACCTTTGATTTTTACTAGTGGTGATGGTGGTGGCGTTGATTGCGAAACAATTACACTTACAAACAATGCGATTTATAACATTGGTTTACTATTGCTACGAAATTAAACATATTACAACTGGCATTTATTTTTTCAATTATTTACTCATCTGAATATCTCCAAAGAATAGTAGCGTATCCGAAAAACGGTAAATTCATATATTGAATTACTTTTCAATTTCGGTCGGTATTACCATTTCACACATTTTTACAATCTGAAGCAGTTTCATTAGTTAGATGATTGGATTAGACTTTTGTTGTGCATAATTTCAAGAATTCAGCGACATTAAAACGTACTAAGCTTTGTTTGAATCATTAAAGGGGGAACCTGATGTAAACATTAAAAAAAATATTCGTTTGTTTACACTTGAATCTGTTGCTTTTTAATATTTTATTTATTTTTATAATATTGAATTACTTTTTTGCTGGATTTTCTCTTAAGATTAACCGGTTCTGAATAGCGAGATCTCGGAATATAGAAAAAAAAAATACAATTTAATTTTTGTAAAGTAAAGTTTGATTTTATTTGATTGCAGCTTCCGGCGAAGATCCCCAGTGTACCACACCAAAATCGAATCGGAAAAATGAAATGGGTCACTATAGCCATCCGACGACGCCGCAAAGTACAGTGCCATCTCCTGGTGCAGCAAGTATGAATTCAATGCATGACGACTATGAATTAAGCAGTCCAAGTTGGCCAAGGACCCCTGCAAGTCCAGTAAGTAGATTTATATGACAATATGGCACCGTAAGTGTTCACACACAATCATATGTGTTTCAATATTTTTAATGTATTTACCACTCTACACAAGTTTCTGTTAAAATGCATATAAGTATATATTGAAATTGTGTGATCGAGTTCTGTGGCATTCAGTAAACGTAACTGAAAATTTTTAATACGATTGGGATACCCACCGTTACTTCCGTAGATGAAATTTTTTTTGGTGACTGATGACTGTGTATGGACCTGCATATTTTTAAATAAATATTTTGATTTTGTGTCGTAATTACGGGTGGGAACGGTGTTTTTTTTCTGTTGGTGTTTTTTCCTTAGCCCACTTAACAAACAGCTTAAGTCAATTGTGTTTAGTGTGTTTATTGAGCTAACTGGCGGGTGTTTCCAGGTGTTTAACAGTCATGTGCCTCCTCCGGACACGTATCGCTCAAAGGTTTATATATAATATTATTTAATGTCGTGCTAATGCTTGTGATAGCATGTCAGAGGCATGTTTTATGTAGTGCTTGACGTTTAGTAACCACCATTCAGAAAGAAGAACTTGTGTTTTCATTCTGTTCTTATTTTTTTGTATGTATTTTTCAGAAAACTGATAGCCTCAGCAAGTTATACGAAATGGATGACAGTCCAGATAGACGTGCTTGGTTAGATAAACTACTCACATTTATGGAAGAAAGAAGATCACCAATCACCACTTGCCCTACTATTTCTAAGAACCCGCTTGATTTGTTCCGTTTGTATGTCTATGTTAAGGACAGGGGTGGTTTCTTAGAGGTACGTTTCAATTTTTTTTTTTTTGCTTTGGTACTTTTATTAGCTTTACTTTTTTTTTTCAGGTTACGAAAAACAAAACATGGAAAGATATCGCTGGAATGTTGGGTATCGGTGCATCTTCAAGTGCAGCATACACATTGAGGAAACACTATACTAAAAATTTATTAGCTTATGAATGTCAGTTCGATCGAGGAGGAATTGATCCTCAACCTATAATAAATCAAGTTGAAGCAACTTCGAAAAAGAAATCAGCTAAAGCCGCCTCGGTGCCTTCACCAGGCTCTTCCAATTCTCAGGATTCTTTTCCGGCACCTGGTTCCGGTGGTACATCAATGGATGGATATGGTTACGGATATCCACCAGCTGGAAATCCAGAATATAATCCTCAACAGAGGCCATCTTCACAATCTAACGCGCCTTCTCCGCATGGAGGTGAGTCATGTTAGTCAATTTTTATTACGATTGGGGGGGAAGAAAAAGAATGACAGTCAGGAGTTTATCTTGTGCGAAAAAAAAAATGTTATCTTTACTTTTTGTTTTGAATGGCGAATGATTGGTTTGAAGAGCGATGTTTAATTAAAGATGTTTCAATGGTATTATCAATTATTATCTCTCGATCAAGGTATTTATTTTTTGTTTGCATTATTTATTTACTTTCATTTTATCTATTCTTTATTCATAAATGAACGACAGTTTTGCCCATAAATATTTTATTAAATAAACATGTAGGTGATTAATTCAAAAACGATAAATTCCGCCTATTATATAGAGGAGACTAAAGCAAATGATTCATTGTAATTGTTTACATCGTACAGCTGCTTGTTCTTTCAACATGATTCAGTTTTTTGTCTTTATAACCCATAAATAAATTATGAATTATTTTATTCCGTTTTGGCACTACAGGGTGAATCTGCTAAAAGACTTTGAGATATTGGTTTTTAGTGGAGTTACCTTGTAGGTGATTGTTTTTAGCAGTTAGGAGAGTAGTATATATGTTTTATATTCTCTTAGGTTCAGGAGGGGCTAATCATTTAAACAATGCCGCCCCTGGGGGTCCTAGCCCTGCAGGCGGGGCTGCCGACAACGTAAGCGTTTCAAACCCTTTTGATGATGTGTCTCCCAGTCCACCACCACGGGGTGGCCCCTTTCCAGGTGGACCGCACCCTCCTTATCCTTCAGGCACTCCACCTAGACCGCAGGGATTTAGCGGACAGGCTGGATACAATCAGTATCCAAGTCCTGGTCCTGGTGCTCCTCCAGATCAGTATTCTACGTACCCAGCTAGTTCAGGTTATCCACCAGCCGTTAGACCAGTGTATCCTCCATATTCAGGTGATTCAGGAGCACCACCCCCGCCGAATCCGAACAATACACCACCTGGTGGTCCGCCGGCTGCCGGACAAGATCCATATTCACGTTATAATATGGGTGCAGCACCAACATCGACATACACGCCGAGGCCAAACTACACAGGCGCACCGGGAAATACAGGGCCGCCAACCTCACAACCACCAGCCGGACCTTATACGACACAACAAGATTATTATAGGCCGGAACAGGTAAAAGAATTGTACATTTTTTAAACATTTTTTGCTTTACTGATTTACTTGGCTAATTCCAGAATTATCCTAATCAGCAGGGTCCTTCGGCAACGGGTAATTATCCCGGAGGACCGCCGGCTAATAAGAATATGCCTCCACCTGGACCACAGCCAACAAGGCGACATCCAGATTTTGTCAAAGATCAACAGTCTTATCCATTTGGACAGCAAAGACCACATATTTATGGTACGTTTTAAAAAAAAAATGATTTGTAAATATTTAAAATGAAAATTTTTATTCATATTTTAATGTTATATTTTTTTATAGCATGGTCGAACAACAACCAGTACAGGCCACAGCAGTATGGTGCATCTGGAGGTCCTCAAGTGGGTACTCAGCAGTGGAATCAAGGAGGAAGGCCGGCTGGTGGTCAATGGGATCGTTATCCGTCTGGTAATCAGGGTTATCAGCCTCCGCAATCCGGTCAGGGGCAGTGGTCTTCAATACCGGCGCCTGGTGTTGGTCAGAATCCACCGTTGAGGCCACCTCTTGGCGGTCCACGTCCTGGTAAACCGTTTACGATGATGCCACCACAAGGTGGTAAAGGAAACCAAGCGACAGCGTTAACGAATAGTTCGTATTCGCAAAGTCAGTTACCGAAGAGAGAAATAACGTTTCCTCCTGATAGTGTTGAAGCAACATTGCCGGTATTATACAGGCGTAAAAGATTATGTAGAGCTGACATTGGTCAAGTTGATCCTTGGCGTATCATAATGTGTTTGCGTTCTGGACTTTTATCTGAAAGCACATATGCTTTGGATATCTTAAATGTTTTGTTATATGACGATTCGTCTGTTGGTTATTTCGGATTGAATCAATGGCCTGGTCTTTTGGACATATTGATTGAACATTTTCAAAAGGCGTTAAGTGACATTTTTGATGGACCTTATCCACGAGAAGAAAAACCAGATGAATCTGACGTTGATTTGGGAGGTGTTGTAACACCGATAGATCCAAATCAAAAATCTGTTTTATTGCAAAATACAAATAACTATACATTTGTGACACGGAAAGGTTATCCCGTCAAAATGGTTGATCGTAGCGAAGAAATTTTCATTCAGGATCATCAGAAAGACTGGGATGTGAAAGGTGATGCTACCGGTGCTAGTATTTTAGCTGAAATGTCAACGGATCCTTGGCAATCAAGGGCGGACCACATACTTCCAATGTTTCAAGCGGAATTCGGTCGAATACCGTTCCATCGACGTCTAGAGGATAAAAAGAAAGAAAGAAGTAGTAGGGATTCAATAGAAGAGCGTCAACGAACACCGTCGCCACCAGACGAAGCACCACCGCCTCCTAAAACTAGTGACAAAAAACGTAGGACAAAGACATTAAGTGATGTGATATCTCGAATTAAAAAAGATTCAACTGAAGCGAACGGTGTGCTCACATTAGAGACGACAACTGTAACTGATAAAGTTAAGACTGATGTAGTAGTGAACTGTGAAGAACAAAGTGTAGATCTGAACGCAGGTAGTGTAAACGGGGAGTGCGGGAAAGATAATACTAGTAGTGGACCACAAGTGCGAGATCCTGTAGGAAGATTGAAACGTCGTCGTTCTTTGGATTGTGAAGACGAAGCATACACTAGAGATGAAGCAAGTCTAGTGCTTATTACTGAAAGCCAAGACAATATCGGAAAAAGATGCGTATGCATATCTAATATACTTAGGAGCCTTACGTTTATTCCCGGCAATGAGAGCGAATTCGCACGTAATTCGACTTTCTTAGCGATAGTGGGAAAATTACTCTTGCTTCATCATGAGCATCCGCCTCGTACACAGAAAACAAGAAATTACGACCGTGAGGTAGGCTATTTACTAAATATGAGTTCTCTTTATTAAAAAATAAATAAATAAAAAAACAATAATTATATGACAAAACAAAAGAAAGGTATGAGAAAATGAAATTTAAAAAATCATTTACCAACAAACTATCGTTTTATACAGTTCTTTTTCGCTTAATATTTCTTGTGTCAAGTATGTTAATTGTGTCGATATTTGAATCTAATTAAATTTTTGTATGACTTTCAGGAGGATGCCGACTTTGCCGATTCATGTAGCAGTTTGCAAGGTGAAAGTGAATGGTGGTGGGATTTCCTAATTCAAATTCGAGAGAACATACTTGTGTCAATAGCCAACATTTCGGGTCAGATCGATTTCAACGTGTATCCAGAAGAGATTGTAAGGCCTATATTGGACGGTTTACTTCATTGGGCGATATGTCCATCGGCAAGCGGCCAAGATCCGTTCGCTTCAGTGGGTCCTTCATCGCTGCTGTCTCCTCAACGGCTGGCTTTGGAGTCGTTGTGCAAGCTTTGTGTTACAAACAATAACGTCGATTTGGTGATAGCAACGCCGCCGTTTTCGAGATTGGAGAGGCTTTGCGCTGTGCTGACGAAACATCTCTGTCGGTCCGAAGATCAAGTGTTGCGCGAATTTTCGATAAATCTGTTGCATTATCTGGCGGCGGCCGATAGCAGTATGGCACGGACGGTAGCGTCACAAACGCCGTGCGTCTCACTACTGGTGGCTTTTATAGAGCAAGCCGAACAAAGCGCTTTGGGTGTGGCGAACCAACATGGTATAGGTGCATTACGAGATAATCCCGATTCGATGGGAACGAGTTTGGATATGTTGAGAAGAGCGGCGGCGACGTTAGTATTTCTGGCAAGGCATCCCGATAACAAACCGTTGTTGGTTCAACAAGAATCTAGGTTGTTGGCGCTTGTTATGAGTCAAATATTAGATCAGCAGGTGGCACTCCTGCTTTCCAAAGTACTATTTCAAATATCTCGCAGCTAATCCCTCTGTAGATACTCTTGCGGCCTTGGACTGGTGTACAGACCTATGTATAGCGTGAATAGTTAAACTTTACCAATGAACAGTGTGTATGTGTGAGTGTAATGGGACAAATGGCGAGAGTCGCCGTGAGATCCGGATCTCCGATAGCTAATGAATTTCACCTAGTGTAACCAACCCATAATTGTACCATTTTGTAAATTAAGCAAACATACGTCTTTCTGGAAATGTCAAACATCCATGTTACTTATGTATTTATTAATTTGAATAACAGAGTACGGTAGTGCTGTAGCTCTCGAGTTGCCTGGTATGGTGGTCATCCCTCTTGTTTTTCCTGCGCACTCAGTTCTCTTATTTCATGTTTGGTATTACTGTGCGAATGCTTTATACATGTCTGATAATGAAATAAATAAATGTACAAAGGAAGTACCGAAAATGGTGTTTTTATACAAGTTTTAATTTTCTATGTATATTTAGAAAATGTTTTATACATCCCATTTTAGATGTTACATTGAACTCTGTTAATGAACAAGTATGGACTGTAAAACAATGCAACTTGCGTTATTAGAAAAAGCAGTCTTGCTATAGAACTCAAATGTAGTTTAAAATATGTGGTGATATTTTTCTGGCTGTAGGTATATTTCATCTTATGTATGATTGCATATTGTAAAAATTAAGTAAATGCTAAATACATTAAAATCTTTTTAATTCTGATCAAACCCTTCAAGTTTTAATCAAAATCACAATTACACATTTATAATTCGGCAATAAGGTAAGTAAAACAGCGAAGCTTTAATTTTCACATTACTAAAATACTATAATAATTAATCCCTTCGTTCTCATAAAAGTGCTATGTTTGGTAAATTTTCCATTTTAAAGCCAGTTTGTACATGTTTAATCAGTTTGAATAGTGAGTAAAGTCGCAAATTTCTTAACAATGCAGTTATTTGAGAGCAATTAGGCGATGGGGCAAAGATTATGTTTTATTAGCCCGGGTTTCTGGAAACATTTAAGATAAATGTAAACCTCGATTAAAACATAGCAACATCAATTAGATCATCGCTACCCTAGCAACTAACAAACAGTTAAATTGTGACTGAGGTTCCAGTCCATTGAATAATAAGTTACACTGTGTAGTTTATTCAATGACCAGACATAGGGCCTTAAACATCCTTGTGAACATTTTCGTAAAATATACAACCAGTAAAACAGTGTAATTTTAACTTTGCGCCAAAATTCAAATGTGTGAGAATCGCACCTGCGCAGTAATGGCATAGTTTGGCGCGATTTCCTACTTCACTCGGAACTTCGTTATAACCGTCTATGATAACCGTTGTAACAAGAGAAGTCAGTGTTGTGTCTTCGCGCTCAGTTTCAGTAAATTCTTTATAGAAAATGGCTTCAAAGAGGTAAGTTGTTTTTTAATTTTAAGAGTAGAGGTAGAATTGTACATTACAGGTCCGGGGAGCCTCTTGAACCAGAAAGTTCGAAAAAACCGAAACCAGCAGCCCCCACACAACTTGAAAAATGCAACAACTGCTCACAAAATATTCGAGATGCAGTAATTTACTCTGGCGCTCTTGTGGACTCTATTGAAGAGTCGGTTGCTTTAACAGATGAAAGACTAAACATTTTTAATGAAAACCAAAACATAAGCTTTGAAGAAGATGACTTACCTTGCCACAAAGTAAATTTCCGTTAAAATTATTCCGAAACATCATTTGTCTCTCAGATGACTTGTTTTAGCGTTTATGATGAAAATGACCATTTGTGCCCCCTTGATACCGGATTGTTGGAAAAGAACGTCTTTTTATACATGTCGGGTTACATGAAACCAATCTTTGAGGAGGATGCAAGTGCAGACAATGGAATTGCAACTCGTGATGCAGGGCCAATACGCGAATGGTTTATTGCCGGTTTCGATGGAGGTGAAAAAGTCTTGCTTGCGATTATCACTCCCTTTGCGCAGTATGTCTTAATGGAACCTTCGGTTGAATATGCTCCGATTTTTGAAACTCTACAAAAGAAAACAGTTTTATTTAAGTTTATTGTTGAGTTTCTGTTGACAAATTTCTGTCGGGCTCCTGGATATGAAGAATTACTTGCTGCACTGGTAGGAAGTAATGATCCGTTGTTGACTGAAGATTTTCTCCTGCAAAATGCCCAGTTTGTTTGCGACCAGGTATTTATGATGAAATTATTTGAAGCCCTCGTGACATTTTTCTTAGATTCACAGTTTTGATACAGCCGCTGGTGACAATAACGCAATGCCGTTGCTTACTACACCGTGTATAAAAACTTTGGCGGTTTTAGCTGGAGTTCATTTTCGCAAGCGCAAGCAGATGAGGAATCTTTCAGGTCGAAAACAGGTGGCTGTTCAATTTCTACTTTGTTCAAGAAATACTGTAACTTTCATTGTAGAACACCAGTTATCAGTTTACGAAAGCGGCGGCGACACCATTGGTCCGTCAATTATTCGAAAAGTTATTCCCGAATCAAATCGAAGCTGAAGATAGAAGATCACCCAAAAAGGCAAGATGTGGTATTTGCGATGCTTGCCAAACTCCGGATTGTGGCCAGTGTACGCACTGCAAAGACATGGTTAAATTCGGCGGTCGTGGCGAGACAAAACATGCTTGTAAATTAAGACGATGCCCGAATTTGGTCGTACAAGACTCAGACGACGATAGTGACAACGAAGTCATTATAGAAGCCGGAAACGGGCGACAAGATGGTCAAAGGCCTAGTGTAAATCGGGTTTTGTGGGACGGTCCTCCCGATGATCAAGGAGAATTGCGGGAATATCATAGATCAATTGACATAGTTCTTGGTAAAAAATATTGTACTGCTTAAAACTGAACTCATATCAATCGTTAGGTGCCAATGGAGATGACCAAACAGGCGTCAAGCTTAGCATCAAACTTGGAGATTTTGTACAATTAGCCCCGAAAAATCAAGGCGAGCCAAATTCAATTGCTAGAGTTGTCAACATATACACTAAAACACATGCAATGCTCCACGTTCGTTTGTTCTATCGTGGTAGAGAAACCATTTTAGGGGAAACAGCTAATCCTGATGAACTGTTCGCTATTGATGAATGTGAAAATTGTCTTGCTGCTTCTGTTGTGGGATCGGCAAAGGTAATTAATTTAATTTGGAATTAAATCATAATTTATTTCAATTTGGTTTAGGTCGTTTTTAGAGCAACTCCCCACAATTGGTCTGATTTGGGCGGTATTGAAACTTTGCGATCTAATGAAAATGAAACGTTTTTCTACTCAAAACAATATGACATTGAGACAGCTGCATTTATGGATTATATTAAAGTCAGAAACTCCTTAGATTCATGTGAACACTGCAGGTGATTATTTTACTTTTGATTTTGATTGTGTAAGGAATATTTTACTATAGGTTGACCGAGTTGAAGAAGAAGGCTAAAATTCCTGCATACAAGAATGGAAAAGTCGAATATCGCGGCTACTGTTACCGTCTAGGATCTACTGTTTTTCTTGATCCATCGGTTTATAAATTTCCATCATACGCTGATACCGACTCTGACACTAACGTATTAACAATTTTCATTTTACGCTTATTTTTATGGTCATTTTTAGTTGAGAGAAGTCGATGAAACTGTATTTCCTGAGTACTATCGGAAAACAGCTGATGCTAATGGTCCCAACAAAGAAATTCCTGAACCTTTCTGTATTGGATTAATTGAAAGAATTGCTGAGACAGTGATGAAAGAGAACGATGATACAACAACCATTATAAACTTGACGGTTCGACTATTTTTTAGGCCTGAAAACACAAAGGGTGGCGGGATGTTAGCCTATCAATCTGACATTAATCTTCTTTATTGGTCCAACAAAAGTAAATAATACGTTTTACACTAACACTTTTTGGGTTTTTTGCAATGGTGTTTTGAGTTAAATATTCGTTTCAAATTGCTTGAACAGTTAATAATATGGTAAAAAAAAATTCACAACATTTTAATCAGTGTTAAAATTATTTTAATCAAACGATTTGAAGCTAATTTTATATTTATTTTAAAATTGTACAAGTGTTTATTGCAAAAATACCAATGCTTTAGATTCTCTTTCAGACAATAACTGCAAAAAATCCCAATACTATGATACTCCAAGCTAAAAATACCAATTGATATTTCAGTTATAAACGTGCCATTCACTAAAGTCATGGGAAAGTGCTATGTGTTATATTGCCTTGACGAACAAAGGGCAAGAGCGTGGTCCGCGCGTGGCCCTTATCGCTTTTATTTCAGACAACAATACGATTTTCAAAATAAGAAATTTATTCGTGTTCCGGACAGCGCAAAAGAATTCGATTTAGAAAGATACGATGACAAAGATGGTAAGCTTTATATTTTGAATAAACAACTTATCGAATCGCAAAAAATAGATTCGGACCAAGAGGAAAGGGTAGAGTACTACGAACCGGTAGAGTACTACGAACCGGCAGAGTACTACGAACCGACACCGTACTATGAACCAGAGCGTGCTCCCAGATGGGATATCCTCACAAGACGTCTCAAGTGCCTGGATGTGTTCGCCGGCTGCGGGGGCTTAACACAGGGTTTTCATGATGCTGGTGTTGCAAACATTAAATGGGCCGTAAGTATATTCACATTTAAAAAAAAGAAGACAAACAGCCAAAAATGTTTATATTGTTGATTTGTACATTCCCAGATCGAAAGTGACAGATCAACTGCACAAACGTTTAAACATAATAACCGAACCTGCGATGTGTTCACCCGAGACTGTAACGTGCTCTTACAAAACGCAATGACAGGAAAAGGGGACTTGCCTTCTAAAAGTGAGGTAGAAATGATAGTTGGGGGGCCTCCGTGCCAAGGCTTCTCAGGAATGAATCGCTTCAGTGAAGGGGAATATTCGCTATTTAAAAATTCCCTCGTTATATCACTTTTAAGCTTTTGTGATTTCTACAGGTTTGGAATTAGATTTTATAGATCTGTTAACATAATTTGGTTTTTAGACCGCTTGTATTCGTATTGGAAAACGTGCGAAATTTTATGTTATATAAAGGGGGAATTATCTTGAAATTGACAATTCAATGCCTCGTGACAATCGGGTACCAAGTTAGATTTTCTATACTAGAAGCCGGAGAATTCGGGGTGTCTCAAACACGAAGACGTTTTTTTTTAATCGCCGTTGCCCCGGGTTATACCTTGCCCAAAATTCCTGAGCCCGATCACGTATTTCTTCCTAGAGGATCACGCTTACATGTGACTGTGAATGGTGTTAAATACTCTAATGGTAATAATTTTGTCTTGTAATTATTTAATTGCTAAGAAATTTTACAGGGAATTTTTGGAATTCTTCTGCACCATATCGTATGCTTCATGTTCGTGATGCCATTGCCGATTTGCCCATAATACAACAGTTTGACAAACAAACGCATATGTTATATGACGAAGGAGAGGGCATTTCACATTTCCAAAGACAAATGCGAAAAGATAATATGGATGACATATGGGATCATACATGCAAGGATATAGCCCCGATTGTGCAAGCTCGGATTGACCTAATTCCACAAATACCCGGTGCAGACTGGAGGGACTTGCCAAATACTGCTGTAAGACTGAGAGACGGTACTATGACTGACGTACTTGAGTACCGTTACAAAACTAAAAAACAGAAGAATAATGAACCCAATCGTGGCGTTTGCGCTTGTTCTATCGGTAGAGCTTGCGAGCCAACTGATCGTCAATCAAACACTTTAATTCCATGGTGCTTACCACACACTGCTGATAGGCACAACAACTGGACTGGACTTTATGGTCGTCTTGACTGGAACGGATACTTCGGAACAACTACAACAAACCCTGAACCTATGGGCAAACAGGGACGAGGTAGATCATTAACAAATAGTATTGCAGTTATTAGCAAGTTTATGTTTCAGTTTTGCACCCAGATCAAAACAGAATGATCAGCATTCGAGAATGTGCTCGCTCTCAAGGTATTCCTGATAGAGTAAAATTTTTTGGCAGCGTAGCAAACAAGCATCGCCAAATTGGCAACGCTGTACCTCCGCCGCTTGCTAGGGCGCTTGGACTTCAAATAAAAAAGGCTATGGTTAATGGTCATCACTAAATATTTGTTCTTTTCTTACAAAGTGTCTTAGAATTAATGTTACTAAGGTATACATCACCAAATTTTGTTTAATTAGAAGAATTATTGATGCTGGGTTTTTAAATTATCTTAGAATTAACGTTACTTTATTATTACATTACCAAGTGTTTTGTTTATTTCAGAAATAATGATGCTAGGGTTTTGCATCATTTTTCAAATTTTCTCAGTATTAATGATATTTTAGTATTATATCACCAAATATATTTTTTAATTATTTCAAAATTATTGATGCTATGGTTTTGCATCAATTTGTTTTGAAATTATCGTAGATTTAATGTTCCTGGGATGTTACATCCAAATATATATATTTTTTGACTAACTCAGAACTAATGTTACTGGGATATTGATATTATCTTAACAGTATTTTTCAAGAATATTTTTCTATTTTGTTATTTTTACAAGAATTTATGTTTTGTTTACCTTATTTGTATTTTTTAATAAAGGTTTTTGAAGTAATGTGTTTTGTTTGAAAATACTCATTCCCGTTATCCTTGTTCTTGTTACTAGAGAATTTCAACTTTTGGAATAACCAGGGTTGCCTTTTGATTTTAGTCACTGCTCAAAGGAAATTTTACAGTGCGTTCAGTTTTAAGGGTAGATATTAAACCGTTTTACACTGGCATGTATGAATTGCAATCAAAAAATGTAGAAAGACAGGGTGTGTGTCAGAACTCGCGCCCCAGAGAAAAATTTCAAGTAAGGTAAGATACCAGGAACACGGAAAAAATGTTACAAAATTTTTGACATTTGATATTTTTTATGTCTAATGTTACTGATGATCTTGTATGTTTTTTTTTATAATTATTTAGTAAAGATGTAAAAATTTTGCCAATAAAAGCCACAAATAACATTGGACAGAGTTACAATTTAGGATACAGCTTCCTAGAATCAAAGTACAAAATTTAAACTCTCATAACTTCGAAATTTTTATAGTTAAAATTTTTTTAACATTTTTCCCATGTTCCTGGTATCTTACTTTATATGGCATTTTTTTCTGGGGCGCGAGTTCTGGCGCACCTGTATGTACAATGTGTCCCCGGATAGGTGAAACGACTCTTGTAAAAAAATTCGATTTAAATTGTTATTCTTGGAGCTCTGCTTAGTTAAAGACTAATTTCTAACATAATTTTAGTTTTGGAAAATTGAGTATATCTTGAAATTTTTTGAAAGACCTAGTTTTCTGTAAAGTGCCTTCTATGTAGCAAATACGATAAAAAGTTATTAACTTTTCTTATGTTAAAACTGGGACAGAAGTCAAAATTCTCTCCCAAGAGAGAGAAATGTGCATAACGACGGGAGCAAATATTTGCTCCCGTTACTAAGTCATTCCCATTCATTGATTGGCTCATCGTCAACAAACATTTTTATTGTTGCCATGGTGTAATTTCAAAGAATGCTAGCTTTATGCTAATTTTTAAATTTAATTAAAAAATTACAGTCAATTTTTTATTTTTTTAACGCAAGTCGTACAAAAAATGGTATATACACCATTGGAGAAAATTGCTTCTTGTTGGTCCATGAAAATCGAATGAAGGATGGCGGATTATTGAAAAACAAAAAAGCATTGCTCATCTCTAAGTACACGTTTTTATTTTTTATTGAATTAAGAGATCCTAATTAAACATAAAAAAACACAAATTAACTCACAAAAGTAACAAAAAATAAAATAAATTTTTAATACTTATAAAACTATACAGAGTGTTCCGTTTTTATTGTTACCGATTTAAACAAGAGATAGAATATTCAATTTTAAGAGAAAAGTTTCCTATGAATATATATCGAAAAATGCTACGCAAGGGGTGTGTCTTAATAGATTTTTTTCCAATATTTCCGAAACCATTTTAGAAAAAATTTCAAAATTTGGTACAAGACCTTTATACACCTAAACGAGTACAAAGATAAAATGTTGAAATTTTAATTAGGGGCTTCCTAAACTGGGTAGGTTTAGGGTAAAAAGTACTCTACCTATTTTGCCTGTGGTTTCCTGCCACTATCAGCAACAAAATTCTAAATTTCATAGTTTTTCATAAAAAAAAGATCTTTTGCGTTTTCCCGTTACAATTTACCGATTTTCAGTAAATTCAGTTATTCACTATTGTCATTTTCATAATCTAAACTCTAAAACAACCTTTACATTAATAACCTCATTTTTTACTCTTGTCATGTTTATGTCATTTTGACTTATTTACTTTCAAAAATAGTGATTTGTGGCATAATAATAATGCGTAGGCAGCAGATTAAAGCGATGATTTAATTACACTTAATTCAAGTAATAAATTTCCTAAGACAGACAAATTGTTTAATTAACAATCTTAACAACAAAAAAAAAGTTTAATTGTCAAATGTCAGTCATGATGACAGTAAATGGTAGTTTACAGTGAACTTTTTAAAGTGACAGAAAAATACTGCCCGAAATTTTAATTCCGCAACTTACATACAAAGGTTTTCAGTTGTACCAAATTTTGTAAATTTATCTATTCTGAAATATTAGAAACAACCCTTTAAAAAACGAACCCTTTTTAGGGGATCTAGTTCCCTTACAATAGCGTTTTTCAAAACATGTTTATAGGGAATTTTTTACTTAAAATTGAATATACGATCATTTATTAAAATTTATACCTAACAATAAAAATGGAACACTGTATAATTAACACATGAAAAATTAATTCACAAAAATTAAAAATTAACTCACTAAAATAACAAAAAAAATAAATATATTTTTTGAACCTCCTAATCCTCCCCTTGGGTACGGCCTGGATTTTACTTATAGAAAAAAATAAATTATGAATTTCAAACGTTGTCTGTCAAAAGACAGGAGCGCCCTCTAACCTCTGCGTGGTTGAAAATTTGACAGCCGCTATAGCACTTGTATGTTGTGTTCCTGCCAAGGGAAATTTTTAGTAATTTCTAGAAATCTTACAATAATGTTTAGTTAATAACACTGTCGAGTATATTTTCGTAATTAGTTTATTTAGTTGTAAGAGTTGGTGATGGTTTTCTATGTCAAGGCACGTTAGTAACATTGAGGACCGAAGTCCTGTGAAGAGGTTGGAAGAACCCCAAATATCGCCAAAAAAGTTGCGTTTGGAAATAGAAATTGATGAAAACATGAGTGACAATTCGCCAGAACGGAATAGAAGAGCAAATTTTTCAAATGTGAACGGCGTCAATAGGAATTTAAACATCCATTCTGTTAAGCCAACCACCAAAAAGCTTATCATAAAGAATTTCAAAAGTAAAAGGTTTGTCATTGCTTTGATTTGCGTGTATTTGTGTTATTTAAGGTGAACCAAAGCTTCCTGAGGATTACCATGAAACCACCTGGGAGAAGTTAAAGAGTGCTGTCATTGCAATTCAACAATCAAAACCTAATGAATACTTGTTGGAAGAACTGTACCAAGCTGTTGGGAATATGTGTAGTCACAAGATGTCCCATATTTTGTATAACGGCTTGTCGCATCTGATTGAGGCACACGTCTGCAGCAATATAGAACGGTTCATAACTGAGCCAATGGACAGATTTCTGTTCTTGAAAAAAATGAATGACACTTGGCAATCTCACTGTAATCAAATGATAATGATAAGAGGCATATTTCTGTATCTTGACCGCACTTACGTTCTCCAAAACCCAAATATATCCTCAATTTGGGACATGGGTTTAGATTTATTTCGTAAGTACTTCATGTTACATACCTTAGTCCAAACGCGTGTAGTGGAAGGTTTATTGATGTTAATTGAAAAGGAAAGACAAGGAGATAAAGTCGACAGGACTTTACTCAAATCACTCTTACGTATGCTAACTGATTTACAAATATATAACAAAGCTTTTGAACAAAAATTTCTGCAAGCGACTGAACGCTTGTATGCTGCTGAAGGCCAAAGGCTTATGCAAGAACTCGAAGTGCCTGAATTTTTGGCTCATGTAGATAAAAGAATTCATGAAGAAAACGAAAGGGTCATTCATTATCTAGATTGTAGTACAAAATATCAATTAATTCATACTGTTGAAAAACAGTTGCTTAGTGAACATATTAATAATATTCTCCAAAAGGGACTTGATAACCTTCTTGAAGAGAACCGATTACATGATTTGTCTCTACTCTACCAGCTCTTTAGTCGCGTTAAAAATGGCCTTCATGAATTATGTCTTGCTTTTAACGCTTTTATTAAGAAAAAGGGTCGTACCATTGTCATTGATCCAGAAAAAGATAAAACAATGGTTCAAGAATTACTAGATTTTAAGGACGCCATGGATAATATCGTCGCCTCCTGCTTCAAGAAAAATGAAATGTTTAGCAACTCACTCAAAGAAGCTTTTGAACACTTCATCAACCAAAGGACTAACAAGCCTGCAGAACTCATTGGTAAGCATTATTTTCTCTTATATAATACCCGTTTCATCTAATCTGAATTAAAAACATGTATTTTACATTTTTTGTAAAATTTACCATTGTCCTGGACAAATCTATTACCAATTTGAAATTATTTTTAAATTCAAAAAATTGTTTGTTTAGTAATGCTATACTAGTGATAACCCATAACTTCTAGTAAAACAACTCCGAGATAATAAATAGTTATAACTTTATTCATTTGCCTTTACTGTTCCTAATTCAGTAAATAAAAAACTTTTTCTATTAATGTATGTAAAATTAAAAGAAAATTAAATTCTTTTATATCCGACTATAATTTGATTTACTGATGTACTATAACAATAGTATAATTTTTGTTTTCTTTTTTTTTCTGGGCCAAATTATACAGGATGTCCATCATTTTTTGTAGCAAAGTTCGTGGACTCAAAGCTTCGTGCTGGCAATAAAGAGGCCACCGAAGAGGAGCTGGAGCGACTTTTGGACAAGATAATGGTCTTGTTTCGTTTTATTCACGGCAAAGACGTGTTCGAGGCCTTCTATAAAAAAGACTTAGCCAAAAGATTGCTCGTGGGTAAATCGGCGAGTGTAGATGCCGAAAAAAGCATGTTGAGTAAATTGAAACAGGAATGTGGTGGTGGTTTCACATCAAAGTTAGAAGGGATGTTTAAAGATATGGAGTTGAGTAAAGATATAAATGTGGCTTTTAAGCAACATTTGAATATAAATACGCTTGATTTAATACCTCTAGACATGACTGTTAATATTTTGACAATGGGATATTGGCCCACTTACACTCCCATGGACGTAACTCTTCCACCACAAATGGTCAAGTTTCAAGATATTTTTAAAGAGTTTTATTTGAGTAAACACAACGGGAGGAAATTACAGTGGCAACCAACTTTGGGTCATTGTGTTCTCAAAGCGAGATTTAAAGCAGGACAAAAGGAGTTAGTCGTTTCACTTTTTCAAACTTTAGTAATACTCCTCTTTAACGAATCTGATGAACATAGTTTTGAGTATATTAAGGCAGCTACTAATATCGAAGATGGGGAATTGAGAAGAACTTTACAGAGTTTAGCTTGTGGGAAAGCTAGAGTCTTGAATAAAATCCCGAAAGGGAGAGAAATTGAAGATAATGACAAGTTTAAATTTAATAATGACTTTGTAAATAAACTTTTCCGTATCAAGATTAACCAAATACAGATGAAGGAGACCGTAAGTGTATTTTAAATGTTTGTTGAATTTTCATTGTTTTACTATTATTACAGACTGAGGAACAGAAAGCAACTGAAGAACGTGTGTTCCAAGACCGGCAATATCAAATCGATGCAGCAATTGTTAGAATCATGAAAATGAGAAAGACTTTAAGCCACAATTTGCTCATTAGTGAACTTTTAGCACAGCTTAAGTTTCCTGTTAAGGTGTGTTGTTGTTAATATTGTTTTCGTTTTGTTAACTTTTTTTTTCAGCCTTCTGATTTGAAGAAACGCATCGAATCTCTCATTGACAGAGATTACATGGAACGTGATAAAGATAATTCCAACCAATACAACTACGTGGCTTAATTTCTTTTATTAGTATTATTTTTATTTAATCTATGTACTTTCATGGTTTGCTGTTATCTGAATTTTAAAATACAATGGAGACATTCATTCTGTTCTAGTCCAGAGCTCCTGGCTTGTAAATAACCATCACTGATTTCACAACTTCTTCTCAAGAAAGTATATTAATATTGCCTGAGTTTGTTAACATTATATTATTAGTTACATGTGTTTATAAAACACTTGTAAATACAAGTTAATTTGTTCGTTCTGTTTTAAATTTTCAGTATATTGTAAATACATACATGTAAAAATTATCTTATAATTTACAGTTAAGTCTCGGTTTAAAATGTGATTTTTTTCTTTTGTAATTTAAATAAAAAATTACGTGGTTTGAAATCGACTATTTTTAGGCCCATCCCCAAATCCAAAACCAACATTATTACCAAACATTAATTAAGTTAGTTAAAATGACTAAAGGATGATATAATATACCTACTAACAATTTGTCAATTATTATTATTCAGCCATTTCGCGTTTTAAGATCAGAAATGCTATGAGAGTTATTACTAACATAATTTTTTATTTAATTCACATTTCCAAAACAAGTTTTACTCATTTTTGTTTAAATTTTCCCTAAGCCCGACCGTTAAATTAAATTCAAATGTCATGTTGGTAGGAATTCAAAACTGAAAATTCCCCAAGTAGTTTAAACGTCACAGTTGGTTCAAATGTTTTGTTTTGACTTGAAATATATGCAATAAAGTATTACATTACATTTTCATTCTAAAATAAAAAACACCGGAATGTATCCATGATGTATCCTAAGTGTGATAATTGTGAAATACTGTTACTGTCTGAAGAGCAACGAATTGAATGGTAAATGGATACCCCTATTTTATAAATCTTAATTCATGTAGGTAAATTGTTCAAGGTATAAAGACCTTAGTGCAAAAAACATTCTGTTGCACAAGAAACTCATTGAACAACAGGAACTGATAACTATTTTGAAGAAAAAATTATTAGAGAAAAGGACAAGTTGTGTATCTGAATACATAACAAACTTGGTTGATCAAACACGTAGAACAGAACATGTAAGATACAAATTTTTATAATAGAAGTAGAAAAAACAAAATATGATTGTAGGACAGTTTTCAAAATAGTCAACTTCTTCACCAAAATCTCAAGGAAAAGTTGTTGGAAGTAACTGCATTTTTGGAAATATTTAATGCTGAAAGGGAATCATTTCAACAAGAAATTGAAGAGAATGAGAGACATTTCACAGAACACATGTCTTATTTAAATGGACAGTAAGTGATAACTAATGATTATTTCAAATATTGATTCAGTTTTCAGGGTTGATTATTTTCGAGAATCATTATTCCGTGAACTAGAGGAATCTAATAGAATCAAACATTATTTTATCAAAAAATTATCTGGCGTTGCCTCTGCTAGTTACAATATTGTACTGGAAACCTTAAAAGAGGAAGGTGAAAAATTAAATAACGAACTTAAGTTAAGATACAGGCAAACAATTCAAAAAAGTAAGGAAGAGATTGAAAGACAAAGTCTGCTTGTTTCAAAACTGAGAAAACATAACAGACAGCTCTACTCAGTTATTCAAAAGTCAAAATTTGAAAATGAAATAAAAATATCAAAATTAGAGGTAAGTCAATTGATAAGAATAATTATTAGTTTGCTCCATTGTGACATGTTTAAGAAAAATGTAAAAGATTTGAAAATGACAGTAAAAAAATTACAAGAAAAAAATGAATGCTTACACACCCAAATAAAATTAGAAGTGGAAGGTTGTCAGAACGATATTTTTGACGCTAGGAAGAAAATAAGGACATTTATAAAACCCAAAAGTTAAATACATAACAATATTTAATTCAGACTCAATTAATTTACAATTAAAATTTAAATAAATTACTTGTAAAAAACTTAATACAAAATTGTATTTAATAAAATTCCCCAATTTTTACATTTCTCTACAAATATACAAAAAAGAAAAGGTATAAATAAAAATTAATTAGGTGTAGGTACTATTTGTTGTAGATCGTGATGTTAATTCATTTCCAAACAACGAAGACGGTTTCAGGCTTTTTCAGGCAAAAATATACAAATCATTCCACTATTATACAAACAAATTACTGTTCATTTGTATGGAAACAATTTACATCACGACCTATTGCTTTAAAACGAATCTCAACTATGTTCTTTCTTTTCCTTTTTCTTGCGTTTTTTCTTTTGTTTGTCGCTTTGCAAGTCTTCATTTTTTTTAAGTAAACAATGTCTGCAATACCAGTCCTCACTATCGTCTGGTGGCACTTGAATTCCCACACAAACCCTACAGATGTTTCATTAATATCGACCAAAACAAACATAAGTTAATTATTTATTACCAATGGTACCATGCATCGCATCCGTCACAGCCAATCATCGGACTGCCGTCATCTTGACGTCCACAGCCGGGACATATCCAAACCTCGTTTCCGTCAGCGTCCTTGAAGAAATTGTGTAGTAATCGGGTGGAAACCGACTCCGATTCACCATCACCATAAAGTGGTGAATTGAAATCATGATTATAAATGCTTCGCGTGAGTGGGAAAAGCGTACGATGATAGGATGATAGACATTCACACTAAGCAGCATAAAATAAAGCGCTTCAAATCTGACCATATTGAAAATTTTAAGCGTTTGGTGAATGATGAATAAAATCGTGGGCACTCATATCAAAGATAAGGAAATAAGACTAGCCATAACAAGTCCGAATATTGTGATAAAAAATTCACAATATGTCTGACATACACTGAACTTACTTTCTTGACGGGTGTTCGTCGTTTTTTAGGCTTAGAAGGTTTTGGTTTGATGGGATGAATTCGGGGCCTACCTGGTCCAGGACCAGTTCTAGGTGTTGGTGTGTTTGGTATTTCTTCTTGTGCTGTATCTTCAGCTGTTTAAAACTCACAACTTAACGACTTTTTTAATAATGTACAAGAAAGGTATCACACTCAAACGACTAAATAACGAAAAACCCATGCATAAATCTACACAACTGGCACCAAAACTCCCGTCCACTACAACCACCAAGCATGACATCGATTAAAATTAAATGAAGCAAATGAAATTAAAGCAAAGAGATAATGCATGATAAAAATAAATGACAATGAGAGGAGACGGGTAGGAGAATGAAGATGATTTCTTAGGTCAGATTTGATTTTTTCGATACTGCCTGAGCTCTTCTTTTTCGTTTTTCGCTTTTTACATAGTACTTACAATGTATCTGGAAGGAGGAGCTGGTGGTATTATTGGAACATCAACAATTTCTCTCCTAATTTCTTTTGTTCGTATTTTAGGAATGGGTTTTAACATGGTTTTCTTCGTTTGATTTACGAAATTATCAGAAGAGGAACTAGGATAACTGTCATTGAAAGCTGCAGAGCAAAAAAATAGTAAGGAGAAACCTCATCAGTATGTTAAAAAATAAAAGTGAAACAAAACAAATAAAACTAAACAAAACAACAAATAACAAAACAAAAGCTAAAACTAATACCATGCTTAGTGGTACATTGTTTAACTGATGCAAGCCAAACTCTTAGTGATTAAAAAAAAACAAAACTAAAACAATTCAAAGGTGGCAACATCGCACACGCATACAAATAACAAAAATTATAACACAACGTTGCCAAATCCACCAAAACTAAGTCGTTAGTCTGAATTTGGCATTAGTTCAAATAATAATAATAAAACAAAGGATAACAATAAATGTGAGTGTGCTATTCTCAACACAAACTTGCCTGGTTGCACGGCTTTTGGAGGGTTAACAGGTTTAGGTTTGGGTGGTCCGCACACTAAAGCTGAGATTTTAGCTAAACCGGGCGATGTCTCACGTTTTATCCTATCTTCACTACTCGTAACAACATTTTCTTCTTCCTTTTTCACAATCGGCTTGATGTTTCTAATAAAAAAGTGTTATTTCTTGGCACTTTGCCTAATTTTCTCAACTTACAATTTTCTAGTTTCGGATGGTTCAGGACTGGGAGACGGCGATTTCAGTTTAAACGTTATTTTTACCCCTGGAGAATCGCTATCTTTCAGCTAGAAAATAAACATAAACAGATTTATCCTGTAATTAAATAAACAAATAACAACCTCTTTTTCCTTATTCCTTTTCTCTTTCTTCTCCTTTTTAATCTTCTCCTTCTTCTCTTCCTTCAGCTTCTTCTTTTCAGCCTTGTTCTTGATTTTATCTTTTTTATTTCGTTTTTTAATCTTGTCTTTCTTTTCCTTTTTGTGTTCTTTGTTTTTCTTTTCTAACTTTGACGAAGGTGATCCTGGATCAATGTCATTAGAAAGTGGTTTTTCTTGGTTTAGTTTGCTAGGGGGAGGTGGAGAATCTTCCACCACGTGGACATCTGATGGAGGTGGTTCTATTTTTTGGTGGAACGAAGACAAATGTGGTTTTTGGCCGAAATTGTACAAATTCATTGGTGGAAACGTCAATGGAGGTATCAGTGGATTCGCTAAAGGTGTTGGTATTAGTCCTGGACCTAGAACATAATTTATAAGTAAAAAATGCACTACAAAAATGAAAAAATTCATCATATGACACGTCCCTTTTCAAATCCATCCCAATTACATTTTTAAGACCAAATGTATGAAAGAATTAAATAAAGTCCAACTAAAAATTGAAAGTAGCACAATTCTATAGATTTGAAACAGGGTATGTTTGACGACTTTGGTAAAGCTCAGTGAATCCAAGATATACATCGGTAAAAATATATAAGTTACTAACTACAGAGATATGAAAAAACTTGTTGTTTTTTTTTTCTGTGACGTATACCTTGGATTTACTAGGCACTAAGTTTCTCATATTGCTATCATACAAAAATAATAAACAATGAATTCTCGTGTCTCCTACGATAAGTGGCAGTAGTGTTTTGTCTATTTAGATTTTTAAAATTTTAATTATGAAAAAGTGTGAAAACTAATAGTGTAAATTATTGTAACGACAAAAATACCTTTTAATTTGTGTTATAAATAAAACTCTCTGAGATTACCAAATAGATATTATGTGTTCCGCGATTAAAAATGTGTTAAACCCTGGAACAACTATATGGCCTTCAATGTCTTAAATATGTGCTTAAAAAATCGAATTACAAGGTATGTTTTGTACTCGTAATATATTTAAAAAGTTTTAAGTTTCTGGTTGTCTCTAAATTCTAGACAACCAACATCAATTTTTACCCTTTTAATTGTCATTACCAAATAGTTAAATTTGTGATGCAAAACCAAAAAGATAAGTTCCATAGGATGAAAGACCTATCATAACCATAGAAAATAAATCACACTGTAAATAAAATAAAATTGTTCATCCGGCTATACCCACAAACGCCTAATTTGTTATGAAGAACCAATTGATAAAGAAACAAATCGGTTTTTTTGTTTTTAAATTGAGTGATCAGTGATCAAATAAATTTCTAGGACAAGATAATTCCTCACTATATCAGTTTATAGCATTTCAAGACTCCTAATATGCAACCATAAAAACGAGTTTCGTAAATAAAATAGTTTTATTTGTGCTGGTGCAAAAAAATGTAATCTAAAGTTGCAGTAGAGAATAAATACTTTAATAAAAATGACTAAGAGCTCTTCTGTTTAAAACGTATTTTGTGATACTAAGCGATTTTTTCTCATTTTCCTACATGTATAATTGGAAATATGAGGTACCAAAATAAAGTTTGTTGTCAGAATCTAGTAACACCTTGATCGCGTTCCCAAACTTAGAAAAATAAATTTTCTTGGAAAAATCGTTTCGTACCTCCAAAATTGAAAGGGAATGGAATTGGAGCCAAAGGTGCATGATTAGGAATTGGAACAGGCACACTTGGCGGAAACTCCATTTTCGGTAATACTTGAGCTTCCGGTGTTTTCGGTCGCTCCATATCTATATCCATCGTGTCATTATCTAACCGATGAGGACTTTGATTTTTCGGAATCTGCAAAATAACGCTTAGTGGAAATACAAATTGGTTACGAGACCGGTTACTCTCTTCATCTTCTTGCTGTCTTTCCGCTTCCGTTTTTCTTTGACTATTGGCGGACTGTGTGAGATCATTTCGGGTGTTTTAGGAGTCGATGGTGTTCCAGGTTGGGAGTCATCATCGAAATAGGGTGTGTCCATCTTTTCTGGACTTTTTTGAATGGAGGAATTGATAGGTTCAATGGTTACGTCGCTTGATAAGTGGGTGAATTTCGGAAGAACCTCGTCGGGTTCATCAATTATAAGATCAGGGGAGCTTTCCCGAGATTCCTGTTTGATGTCGTCTTTTTTGATTTTAATATCGGCTTTTTCGTTTTTCACATTTGATATCTTTTTGAAGATGTTGACTTTTTTCTTGTCAGGTTCAGTGAAGAGTTTGTCAACGTTGTCGTGTTCAGTTAAGAACACTTGAGGGCTGTTGGGCCGCATTGGAATTGGAGTAATTGTAGTGTTGAGTTTCTCAGTTTTGAGCCGAGCTGCAGCTAAGGTTTTGTTTATCTTAGCGACTTGGTTTGCTTTGTTTTGCAACTGTGAAATATTGTCGTTGTTGTGTGGTATAGAATTTAGGACTTTGTTAGGTACTTTCTGTTGTTGCTTGGATTTTAGTATGCACTTCATTGAGTTCATTTTGTTTTTTCCAAGAAGAGTGGGATCCATATTTGCTTCCTGTTTGAATTTCTTCTTTTCTACTTTTTTCACGACTTTCGTCGGTTTTTTGTTCAGATCTATGGTCTCCTGAGGTGGGTTTACCGGACCCATCGGATCTACAGATGAAATTGGAGTTCTGGATTCAGGTAATTTGCCTTCTCTGGCTGGTGATAAGAACCCTGAAGTTGTCATCATCACACTACTTATTTCTCTTGTAGGTCTACTGCCTTCTTCTTCTCTACGGAAACTAAGACAGCCTTAACATATTTTGGAAATAAAATTAATACCTAGGCCGTTTAAATTCTGAAGGTGATATGTCGGCCGGTTTTTTAAAAACTTGTGAATTTTCAGAATTTGTTTCTTCTGGTTCCTCAACTTTACAAGTGATTGCTTCTAATTCATTTTTACTACCTAAGATAGTTTCTATAAATGACATTACTAAAAACTTGCTTTTACCTTCTAAAAGTGGGTTCATGGGGGGTAAGTGTTCATGAATGTGGACAGGTCTAGTAACCACCTCTTTGCTGCCTGGTTTTAAAAAATTCAAATGGTCTTCCTTGGGTATGGGATATTTAGGAACAGGGCTTGGTGCTGCAGCAAAATTTACATATCTCACGTACTCTTCTAGCTCGGGAACACTGATCCCCATATCCCTAAAGGTCAGACCCAAATGGTCCAAATTCGGTTGGGTGCACCCAACTAAAATCACAAATATTAGCAATCCGATGGTTCCTAAATAGCAGACACTGTACATTCATTTGCGTAACTGTTTGTATTCCTGGTAATCTGGCTCATATAATTTCCTAAAATATCGGTTAATATCTCTAAAGGTGTTGAATTTATCGAATTCCATCCTAGTGTTTGTAAAATTTTTGCCACAGATATTTTAAGATGATCTCGAGTGTAATTGCGAGACATTTTACCGATTTAGTTAACTACACAAATTCTTTAAAAGGGTGCACCAAACATCTAAAACAAATAAACTTCCATTTTGAGTCAACACTCGTGACCTTGACAGATGACAGATTGACAGTTAAAAGATTGCTCCGAAAAAGCGGGAAGGTTTTCAAGACAATATTCTCACTATTTGCACCTCGGTGAAGGTAGCAATTTGCTATGTAATTGTAAAACACAATAAGAAAGTGTAATAGTTTTTAATTTTTAACAAAACAACAAGCTACAATTAGAATTTGAATAAATAACGCGACACACAAGTCAATTTATTGAACAAAAATCCCAAAACTTTATAATTTCAGTCACTTTTTGTTGTTTATTCGAACCTTATTATAAAAGACAAAATAATTCTTTTTGATTTCTGTTCAATTGTACCAATAGTAGGTAGATATAAGAAAGAAAGCAAAGTGTATGTTGTTTTATTTCTCTAATACAAATTTTGTTTTTATTGTTTTTGTGAGCAAAACTGTTAGTGTGTTAGTTAGTGTTAGATAAAATTCTAGGAAAATACAACAAACATTAAACATTTGTAGTTTAGGCAACCAATAATACAGATACCTCATGATGCTGTATATTGTGAATTGTTGCAAGTTAAGTCGACTGTTAGCGTTTGGCTTGTGGGTGTTTGAGGAATTACAAGGTGGGTAGTGTAGAGGCGGGTTCAAAGATGGCGTTGGTCGTTTAGTGTGTTTACAAGCGACCAGCGGCATTCTATTTTGAGTAGAGTAGCATGTTATGCATGTTATGTTCAAATAGACAGTGTACAAATCGTTTTGTTCGTGGTAGCGTTCGCAACAATTCTTAACGAACATTCACGTATTTCGAATTACTTACTGATTTTAAATGGCAACATTGTCTGAAATGCATTTATGCTTGATTACTCCTCATTAAATGTTTTTCCGAGTTAACAACAAAACATAACTTTGAGTTTGGACGTGATACGTGAAAGTAGTTATTTTTATGTGAAGACGGTTTTAGAATTTGCCAGTTTGTTTCTTGATATACCGGCTCTTTATCTTGTAATGATGGATGAAAATGAACAAGAATTGAAATCACCAATCAAAAGGCTGGGATCTACAAGAAAACTTTTGGTTTTTAACAGTGAGTACACCTGTCTATTTATCACCTTTTTAATCGAATTTTCGAAATAACACCACTTTTATACCCAACGTGTCCAAAAGGATGCAACGGAATTTTCTTTATTTTTTTAATATTTAAATTTTCTGTAAAAGTCGTTACTCAAGGCTAAGGTATTGCAACAATAACCTTTTACCTGGAGCCGTTATACTATTCAATCTCTGGCTTATACATATCAATAAATATATACAATCTTTGGGAAACCACAAAGATGTGTTTTTAAAAATATTTTTAACGTTCTAATAAATTTGCGAGCAGGCGAATTGAATTAATCCCACTCATTTCAGATTTAACTCAATTTTATTTTTTACCGTTGCCGTTCTGAATTTTAAAACAATCAAATTTGAATTAATGTCGTTATAAAACAATGCAGTTAAAACATTTTACCCGAATCCTGACGTAAACAATTCTTCATAAACAGGATATTAGAAGTTGCTATTAAATCAATAATATTTATTAATAGTATTTTTGCAAAACATGCATATTTTCGATTTCCGAATTTCGACCAAGGTCACACTAAGAAATTCTTGTCAGGGTACCTGAGGTGGTATAAATGACGTCATACTATAAAAAATACAAGAAAATTCAACTTTTAACTTTGTTATCAGAGTTTATGTTATGAGTGAAAATTATGCAAGATGTCTCAAATCTCAAATGCCTGAACTTGAACTTGTAAACATTTAAAACATATAACAAGATAAGCGAATAAAGTAAAGGTGTTAAATAACATTGGACTGTTTGAATCTTAAATAATATTTTTAGTATCCAGTCACAAATTATCGACTCCGGCGAAAAAGCCGTAAAATTTTTATTGTATTATAAATTTGAACGAGCCATCTCGTGGGTTGATGTTGATATTTTAATAATTGGGTTCAATGTTGGATATTTTATGACGGTTATAGCCGATAATAAAGCCCTTGTAGGTCAAATGTAGCGCCATAGACGTGCACTCTGATTGGTTGATTTGTGTCCATTCTAGCGTCCGAATTAAGCTTAGACGTGACTTTTGAGTCAAATAGCGTAATAATCGCATTATACATGCGACTTCATCTCGTACCCAGATTCCAGAAAAAGATTCAACGGCGCCGCTTTGGTGCGCCTGTAACACGAAACTAAAAATTTAACATACAATGGGGTGTGCTTGATTGAAGGGTGGATTAGTGTAACGAGATGGAGCCGATTTTTTTAATTATTTTTTAATTATTCTCGTAAAGGGAGACTGAATTGAAACTCAGATCAGCAGGTTTTAGATTTACCAAAACCCTTCATTAAAACTGGATGTCTTTTAAGTGACAAGCGGGGTGGTAATATTTAAAACATGAATACCAACATATGCACTTTACACTTAATTATTATTTGATGTTTTCAAAGAAGAATTGTGAATATATGCACCTGCTGTTCTTTTAATTATTTTTTACTACGTGTTATTGAAAACATTCAGCGAAATGGATCAAGTAAGATGACCATGACTACCAATTACCAATTGTCATTAATAACGTTAGCCCACGAGTTGTAAAGCGTACATAATGTAACAACCGATAAAAATAATTTATTTGGTTCAGTTATTGAAAAATGCAAGTGAATGGGGTTTAAGATTCAGATCAGAATTTGTTTGCAGATAATTATGCTACAACGTAATGTGTAAACATTATCTTTGTTGTGAAATAAATAATTGTAAGGAAAATTGCTAAATTCCGATGACAGTTTGCTGCTTAGGTAAATTTACTTAACGTTAAAAATTTGAGGTTGAAAAATGAGGCAAAAATTCCGTTATTATTATTGTACCAGAAAGAAATTGTTATGCAACAATGCCAATATTTATTATTTTTGTTTTGCTGTCCTTCACAACACCGTTGATATTTCATGTCGTTTACTAATTGAAGGAAAGCCAAGAGTAGGGGTTGATGTTTGTACTGACGGTGAAGTTTTCTCGAGGGGACGAATAATTCAATCGATATCGTCACTCATCCTTTGTCTTGTACACCATGAATTAGTTATAGACCAAGTTAAAATGTAAATTATAAAATTATTTTCATTTTATGAGAGATGCTGCGTTTTAAACAACGGAAGTGCTCTTTTTATAAAGGACTTTATCACTCCAATCTGTTGCAGCAATCAGACATGGCTGGAGAATTTCGACTGAAAACAACTTGCTTCTAATTTAAAATGCAGACAGTTTTTTTCTACGAAAAGGGCTTGTTTGAAGTTTTAACCCATATGGACAACACGTGACAATTTCGGCGTGGCATTAATCTTTGTTAAATTTATATTTTGTGTTGATGTGCGTTCAACCGGATTAAGGCTCATCACTCTGTTGTAGACAAGGACCAATTTCTTTATTAAACATCATTGTACAATTTAATATTTGTCTGTGTGAAATGTCGCCCCGAAAACTCTCTGGGAAATAATCACTTATTAATTATACACTTGATGACTGTTAGTAAAAGCTTTTATTGAATTCAAGAACGCACTCTCCAAAATTGATATCCCGCAAGGTTTCAATCGAGGCGTAACAGAAATAATTCCTTCTAGGTGATTCAATTTTTTGTAGGCACCCATTATATTTTTAAAATGTGTAGTGGGTAATTTTTCAACAATTGCCAACAACGTCAGATAATGTTGATTCATTTTGTATAAATAGATTTTTGAAATCGTGCGAAGTTAATGAGTGTTAATTAAGTATTTAAGATTATGTTTCCTTCAATCTTTTATTATAAGGATGCTATTTGCACAATCAGGTAATAGATGGTTAAGTCATGATTTCGTGGTTTGTGCAACTGCTGCGTATCGTTCAGCGATCTAGATTTTTCCGTAGTTTACGTTATTTTTGTGTGGAACATTCTGGGACGGTTGGAAATATTTGAAAATTAATAATCAAAACAATCTCTCGAAGCGGATAGGTCTTTCATGCCTGGGTTGCCTGCTGTTTGTTTCGTACGCCAATGCGTTTATCGGACGGACTCCTGTCTTGTTTTCAACAAACATGAAACATATTTCTGTAGGAAGGTTTTTTTTGAGTCTTGAGTAACACAAGCAGCAGTCGTCTTGTCTTATCTCTTTTTATCGGTGTCTAGTTGGTGGTAACAAGTCCGATTCGGAAGTTTGTTTAATAGTTTTTCACTTAGATGAGGAAATAATATATCGTAAGTTGATTGCTGTCAGATTCGAATTGAAACACATGACCCTTGTAGTATTTAATGGTATAGGAAATGGTTGTTTAAGTCATCAAGCTCATTATACGCACTCTGTACGGGGATGTGGTTTTCCTTACTAATTCACGATTTAGTTTTTTTAGTCATTGTTCTAGTGTCGTGCGGTTAGGTCGATATGAAGCAGTCTCGCGCTCACAAAAGCACCAAGTGCGACTGGACGGAAGGTAATAATAATAAATAATTTTAATTTTCTTAACATTAAACAAACAAATCTCAATTACCTCATTAAAAGGGCAAACATAGTCGTGCTTCAAAATGGATGTTTGTTTATCAATAAACCGCTATTAAAGTGAGAAGAAGTCTCATTAAACTTGCACTTATTGTATTATCACTCGATGTTTATTCATAAATCATTAAACGTTTTATTTGTGTTAACGGAGGAGTAACTTGATCCTCTCCAGCTCTTAATCGTATCAATATGTTGCTGTTACTTATAAAAAGTAGCATCATATTATGTTTGCTTTTTAGTAGCTTTCAACCCGAGCGGTTGTCTTATCTTGACACAAATTGAGTATAACCAAACAGGAAACCAGTATAAATAAAACTGATGCAAACATGACTTTGGCGAATTCATAATTGACATCACAGACAATTATTTACAAAGCATTTTTTAATTGTTTTATTGTTTAAGTGGATTTTGAGCACTTATTTCGCTTTATTGCATTTATGACTGCATATGCATTTTCTTCGTAGGCGTTCCAGTCATGCAGTCGACTATACTAGATGTGCGAAAAAATAATAAACAATAGTTCAACGGTTTTATCTTCAGTTTTAAGTAAAAAACACCTCGCTTTATATTTTTTTTATCCTTAATTCTTTTCATTCAATCCATTCCTGTGTGTATAGTTTAATCAACTGATGTAAAGCCTAAAGTATGCGATACATCTGGCAATTGTTAATGATAATTAATTATACAAAAAATTCTCCTAATCACATTCTGTGCTTAGACAACATAACAAAACTTTGTTATACTTATAAGCAACAATAAAAGTGTTGCTGTAACAATAAATATGTGAATCATTGTATGGTTACATATTTTGTTGAAAATCTGCAGTTGTCTGGGAAAAATGCGGTTTTCATTGTTTCAATTAACAAAAAGAAGATGCTGGTTCAGTGGCGTATCCAAACTTTATTTTTGAGGGAGAGGGGCAAGCTGTAAATTAAAACTTTAAATACAATGTAGTTATCTTTAAAGTTTTTTGCGAATGCTTTTTCATATTATTAAAACAAAATAAAGTTAAACACCAAAAAAACTTTACTTTTTTATAAACTTTACAGAAAACGTAAAGTAAATGTAGAATTTGTTTTATTGATTTTGATTCTGTTCTGCTTTAAATGGTTTCAATATCTTTAGGATGTAATAAAATCGAATAGATATACGTTTATTATACAAATTAATCAATCCACAATCACCGCTTTGTTGGGGGAGTGGGGAGGGGTAACACGCTGATTTGGTCTTATAGGTACACCAGTTATTATTTTTAGCATTAACATTTGATAAATAATAAACTATTTAAATTATTATACCTAGCTTTTGAATTTTATTTGGGGTCGTACTATTTTTCTTGGCACATACTGTGTTTTCAGAAAATATTTCGGTCATTGTAAAACTTGTTTGTTTTAGAATGTAAAGTGTTCCAAAAATGTCGGATCAACTGTACTCAACTAAGATGTAGCTTATGTAAAATCTCATAGAACAATATTTTTCATTTCTGCTAAAAATCTCTGAACAATTGGTTCAACGTTTATGGT